TCATCAGATAATCAGTCCAAGATTGATAGGAATACCTTATCATTTTATGAGGAAGGAGGGCTTGGATTGTAGATTGTAGAATTCATTCAGTTGTTTAGTTTTCATGAGTCTTCATTTCAGGGGGGCGAGTTCAGGGTGTTCCGCTTCAGAATGCTTCAGTTTGATGGACATTTCCGCCTTCACATCCCAGGGAGGCGGGAGAGCCAGCAGCAGGTTGGCTCTGTCACGGCAGCCCTTTGGTGTCATTGTCTGAAGTGGGTGGTCACCTCTCGGGAAAGCGGTAATAGGCCCCCAGCCGCTACTGAGCCCCTCAGAAAGCGGTTTCTGGTGGGCCACCAGGCATCAGAGCCCTGACTCTGGTGCTCTCAGGAGAAGGTGAAAGGGGCTTTCGCCCAGGCCTATGAAATAGCTGTTTACTTCACGCGGCCCCGAAAGGAAAACAGAACTTTCATTCCCAGCAGCCCCCGAGAAAGGCAGTCTAATCAGTCATAATGGACTTGCCTCTACCCCAGCCTTCCTGCAGGGAGCCCTGCGGATCACAGGGGCCTATTGTGAGAAGAGAAAAAGGAAGCATTGAGGCAGGCGCCAGGCAACAGGGCAAGAAGGAAACACTTAAGCAAGGGGCCTTTAATTTTTATATAACTGCCCAGGAGCATATTTTATAGTCTCCTCGTGAGAGTCGGGCCTCATGCTGCTGCAGACTCTGTGTGGTGTCCTGGGAGCTGATGCTGGGGGAAGCAAAGACAGTCCCTGACCTTGAGGGGAGTGGAGAAGTGGCCGAAGGCCGGCAGTCTGTCCTTCATTCAGCATCTGGCTAGTACGATAGCACCGTTTATTACCAGGCTTTCGTAAAACCATCTTTTCTCCGCTGGTAGCCTTCAGGGAAAGCACCCCCTAAACCAGGGGTGGACAAACTTTTTGACTCGAGGGCCACAATGGGTTCTTAAACTGGACCGGAGGGCCGGAACAAAAGCATGGATGGAGTGTTTGTGTGAACTAATATAAATTCAAAGTAAACATCATTACATAAAAGGGTACGGTCTTTTTTTTTTTTAGTTTTATTCATTTCAAACGGGCCGGATCCGGCCCGCGGGCCGTAGTTTGCCCACGGCTGCCCTAAACTCTGCCTGCTTTCATAGATGCTTTAAACAGCCACCCCTTTGGCGTCCAGGGCCCAGATTTATTTAAATGCTTCGGGGGACAGTGTTCAGAGATGTCTCTCGCAGATGGTGGAGAGCAGAGTTGACTTGTTTTTTGACAGAAGCTGTGCTTTTGCTTCAGTCCTGCTTTGAAGTGAAAATGTGTCTTGCTCGTCCTGGGTGTGGCCCCTCTTACCTGCAGGGGGCAGGATTTGTCTGCTCCCGGGGCACCAGTGAGCACATGCCCTGCGTTAGAGCTCTGGCCCTTACGTGGGGTGCTCAGGGCCCGCGTAGCCGAGTGCACCTCTCTAAATTTGGTTTGTTAGCTTCCAGGCCGGTCATTTAGGGAATATCAGGTTGTATTGCCAGGCCTAGATTAGAAGCTTAGAGCTTCAAGATATAGAGTGAGAGGATTCCCCCCACCACCCCACCCCAATTTTCATTAGCAATGGAAACCTTCAATGAAACTCTTTTTCCAAAAGAAATCTTACCAGGAAGCTCATGTAACCAAGCCGAGCTGGATACGTGAGGATAGAAGTTCCGAGAACCTTTCTCAGAGGTTCCCTGAGTTAACCCAGATCAGTGGTCGGCAAACTGGCCCCTTGAATGTGGCTCTTCTTCTATGACCCTAATGGCTTCCCAGAACAGGCCATGAAAACCAAGGGTGTGATCTCGGGCCAAAGAGCTGCATGTGGCTTGCGAGTCGCAGTTTGCCGACCACTGCCCCAGATCACTGTGTGGCAGTGGCAGAGCCGTGACTTATAACCCAGGTTTCATGGTCCCCTGTTTAATACTCTATGTAGTTCCATTTCTGCCCTCATCTCCCCTCACCCCATAATGTTAGAGCTTCAAGTGCAAAGAGGCCCAGCTGTATTAGGACCCCAGCAGGCTTGGAGCACGGGTGGCTGTGTCAGCCAACTGAGGTCTGCTCCAGGGTCCCAGCCTGAACATTGTCACTTTACACCAGGAGTCGGGAACCTTTTTTCTGCCCAGGGCCATTTGGATATTTATAACATCATTCTTGGACCATACAAAATTATCAGCTTAAAAATCTGCCTGCTCTATTTGGTCAAACATTTCATTAACTCACCCCTAATGCCTTGGCAGGGGCAGACCAAATGGTTTGTGGGCCTTATACGGGCCGAGGGCTGGACGTTCCCCTGTGGTACACAGTGCTCATCAGGCAGGATGGGTGAACTCATTCTCATGAGAATGAAATCTATGGATGATTTATGAATGAAGAATTAAGTTCATAGCAGTAGACATATTTTTACAGTAGAGTATCTGTTTCTCCAGGGCTTCTACTTTTATTTTTCTGCTGGTTGACTTCATTTCTGGTAGCTACAGCAGAAGTCTAACTCCTGACGGAGTGGCCCAGTGCCCCGCGGGGCTCCTCTTCCGTCTGCTGCCCCCAGCCTTCCTGTGGCCGTGTCACTTACGGTCACTGCCTCCCCAGCTCCTGCAGTGGCTACCCCGTATTGATACAGGAGATCAGTGTCAATGCTAGTGGGGGATTGGGAAATACCAGTGAATATAAAAGTCAAGAAATAACAGATTTCAGTTGCCGTAGTACAATTTTCTTTTCACTTAAAAGTTTTCCAATCACCTGTTGTCTGGCCTTTGTTGGCAGATGGACATTAAATGCAGCAAACTAGAACATGCAATAAATGTGCGTGCAGACATGCTCCAGCTCTGACGTCCTTTTGCTGAAGGCCTGAGATGGTCCCCAGTGTGCGGATTCTGGAAATAACTGACCATCAGTGGTCTCATTCCTTTCATCCTCACCGACTTCTAAAACGAGGCTAGTTTCCAAGGGGAGAAGCAGCACGTTCGGCCGTGCTGGTCCTGTTTGCACCGTGTGTGGGGGGAGCTCCAGATGTGATCTCTGAGCCACGACGACTTTCCTCTGATGTGGACACGACTTTTCCCAACCTTTTCCCAAGCATGCCTTCCCGTCCCCCGTCCTCCCCCCCCCCAACCCCCCACGATCGGAGTATACACCTATTTAATGATTGCTCAAGGGGTATGGAACAAATGTGGATCTGGCGTGCACGCTTCCTCTCCATCAGCAGGGCTGAGGGGCCTCAGGTCTGCTGCTCCCCTGGCACAGTGTCAGAGACGCCACCCTGAATCCATCAGCAGAGATTGGCAGCAGCGCAGTGAGCAGGATGTCTGAACTTGACGGCAGGGCTGGATGGAGCAGAAGGAAGGGGCCCTTCTAGTTCTTACAGCGGGCGCGGAAAGTGGTCAGTCAGGTCCTTCTGTCAAGGTTTCCTGAAGCTGGAATCTATGTTGGCAAATGTTGTTTTGTGCATTTGGTTTCTTTTCATCACATTCATAGCAGCTGTAAATTGGAAAATATTTACGTCTATTTGTGTGTGTGTAAAGATTAAAGGTATTTCTATTTCAAAACACATGTTCTCAGCATGGATTTGTCTGTTGACAGAATGAATGATTTCTAAAGAAATGTATATACATTCAAAGCTCTTCATAATGTCTGTTTCAGTCCTGCCTACCAGACTAGTATAATGATTTGGGGGATCTTTACCCAGCATGACATTGATCTAACATTGCTTGTTCTGGATTTGATGCCATCTCTTTTATCCACAGGCTACCAGTAGTGTGTTTTGTTGCTGCCCACATGTGCTTTCCTCAGCCCTATAAAATTCTGGACACAATTCCTGATTACTTGGGAATTACCTTATTCCTTGTAGCTATGCAGTGTCAGTGGACCGATCCCTGCTCCTTTCCTATGATACCCAGTTATAGTAACTGTGTTTCAGTTTATGTGTGTTGTTAAATTCGAGGTTGAATGAATTGGAGAGTTAATGATCCAGCTCTCCAGTTTACAACTGGTAGTTAGGGCTCAGGATTTAATCAGCTAGTCCAGTAATTTTCAACCTTTTTCATCTCATGGCACACATTAACTAATTGCTAAAATTTTGCAGCACACCAAAACAATATTTTTTTTGCTAATTTGACAAAAAAAAAGCAGGGGTACAATTAGATTCATTCACACAGACGGCTATTGTTGTGTTAGCTATTGCCATTTTTATTTTTATTTGACAACTGAAGGGAAAAGAGGCCAGTGCCCCTGATTAAATAGTTAGGTATTGCATGGTTTAAAAATTCTTGCAGCACACCTGTTAAAAATTGCTGAACTGGTCTAATATTGTATAAGCTACTATTTCTGAAATGCTGGTCCATCAACCATGAGGACTTTTTTTTTAATAATCAATAAAATGTTTTTATTGATTTTGAGAGATAGGAAGGGAGGGAGAGAGAAACATGGATGAGAGAAACATGTATGAAATATCGATCAGTGCCTCCTGGGGATTGAATCTGTGCCTTGACCACGAATTGAAACATCGACCTCTCAGTATTGTAGCTAATGCACCAAAATCACTTAATTAGCTTAGACATGATATCAAAAATTTGAACTTGTTTTTCAAGGAATTTAAATACAAAAATTTTAAGATCTCTTAGCATGTCTGGTCCTGGTATTTCTGTAAAAAGGAGAACCCTGGTGATTTTTTTTTTAATTACCATAAACAACATTCTGGTATCCCGAATGCAGGTTAAAAAAGTTGGTGGGTCATGCAAAGCTAACATGGGAAAGAACACACTTGATACGGACTTCAGAGTCTCAGGAGAACTTGCAAAGGAAACCCAGGATCAGTGCGGGTCCTGGCTCACGTTGCTATTTGTGAGTTAACTAGCGCGGAAGAAAAGTAAATAGAGTGTGAGAGGGGGAAAAAATAGGCATTCTGGAAATGATTATTAATGCTAAAATTTCTGCATCTAATTTTGGGATGGTTATGTTTGGAATTTCACATGCACGATGAAAATGTGTGTTTTCAGGTTTGTGGAGAAAAACAGCGCTTTGAGAAGTTGATGGAACATTTCAGGAATGAAGACAATAACATCGATTTTATGGTGAGCTATTTTTGTACTACATTCAAGAAAACAAACTCAATTTCAGCACTTTTCCCTAAATCCATTGATATTTATATGTAGTATACATCCATATGTATGAGTATATTACAAAGGACAGGAAATTGAGCATAATATGCTACAGATCCAATCTAGACTGTCCCTCTTAATCTCTATTTTCCCTCGATGGCATTTATTTCCAGTTTTATTCCTTCTGTGCACTCTATAGTACAAGCCAAAAGAACTGGTTATTTATAGCAAATAAAGCATGAAGCATGCACTTGGGAAAAGGAAGGTAACGTGCATGGTGCATATGCCGCAGTCACTAATGTTACTGTCAATGGTGCCGCATGGGAATCCTTAGGGCAGAAGCAAGAATCGGACCATTTTGCCTTCTGCACACCTGAGCCAGTGCCCTTTTCTAGACAATATTCCCAAGACTAAAGTGCTTTGGTTTGTGGAATTGACTGTATATATCCCCTACATTAATGTACGGCAGTGGTTCTCCCTACTCTCCCCCCGCCCCTCTCCTGCTCTAGTAATTCTATGAAGGCATACCGACACTGCAGATCCACTTACAGGTAGTAGATCATGTGCAACAGCATGGGTCTCAGCAGGCTGTCATCTTCCAGAACTAAAAGGAGTTTGAGCACTTGTGAATCCATATGCCTGAGGCTCAATCCTGGACTGAAGGTGGACTCCACTCTAGAGAATTTCCTCAGACAGCTTCCTCTCGAGGGCACCCAGATTGGCAGGCCTTCTTTGACCTAATGCAGGGAGCTTCTGAACCCTGGGGGTCCTCACCTGGGTCATCTCCCAGGTCCCTGCCAGCCCAGAGCAGACAGCCCAGTCAGGTCCGACACTGTCGAGTCTTCTGAGCCTGTGCTCGGACACCAGGCAGGGCTTTCCCTGGAATTGCTTCAGTGACTGTAAAATATGGAGCATAGCTTTACAGATTCCTAACCCTTTTATGTAAACATTTTTTTCTGGGTCCTGAAATTTAATAGACATCATGACCCTCAGCCCCTTCCAAAATCAGTGAGAAAGATGGGCTCTTTTATAGAGGTTTTCTGTTCCATAAAGCAAAGATACACACACACACACACACACACACACATGCTTTTTAAAAAGGTAAAAAGTGAATGTGAAACAAGGAATACTTTACATTGACTTTTTAATTCTTGTTAGTAGGGTTTTTTTGGCGAGTTTATGGCTGTTGGCACAGGTGATAAGCATGTGAAGAAGTGGTGCCTGGCTCTCCTGACTAATTTCTTTCCTTGGCCTCATGGGGGGAACTCACTTGTTCCTTTAAGCTGGGGTTACAAACTGGAGGCTCCCAGGCTGGAGGCAACCTCCAGGCTTGTGAGTTAGTCTCCCAGTGATGTCCTTCCGTAAAATAATTTGGAAATTATGCACAAAAATACAGATTTCTGATTTTCTTAAGCTAAAATTTTCTGACAGCACGAGACCCCTATTCATGCAGAATATCAGCCGCTAAAGCCAACTCACGCCTATTCCTTGTGGCTAAAGGTGTACTTTCCGGTTCGTCCCAGTCCATACCATTCCCTGTTCGGTTACATGCGGCCCACCTCGCTCATTTATCGTATGTGCGTACAGCATCTCTCTGCCATTGAGTTTCTGCTAGAATGACTATAAGTCCTTTAAAACACCTGCACTGTTTACTAAGGAGAGCATGTTTCCTATGAGCACATTTATTCACATGCACATGCATTGAGGAACCTTATATAGAGGTGCTGCTATATGGATCCTATGTGCTTGATGCATGCATCACCTAGCAAGCAGTTACCTCTCAGGCATGTCGTAAAACTCAGCAGATCATTCAGACCTGCTTTCAGGAGAGAAGTGGAAAGATGCCAAAAGCCAACCATATTTTTCCTCCAGAAAATGAGACTTTTCATAAACTGCAGTTAAGAGGTATAACCTCCCAGAAGAAGAAAAAAAACTGACCAAATCTTTAGCTCATTTAACCACAGCACCTGAAGTCACTTGTTAATTAACTGCCATAGTGTCTCCTTGTCACCGAGAGCAGATGGATATCCAATGAATAAAATACTCAAAGAAGAATCTAATGTGACAAAAAATAATTTTGGGAAGAGAAAGAAAATGAGGTTTTGGGGAGAGAGGAAGAGTGAGGTGGTTTTCGGAGAAAACGTGGATCTGGCTCCCATAATCATCTTACCTCCTTGCACGAGGCTCTGTTTAACTATGGAGGGAAAGCATTAGTGGGCTATTTCCACCATAAATAAACTGACTGTCACTATTAAAAGCAAAATAGGTCTGTTGAACTCTGTGCTGCTTTTACCAAACCGGGGACTGGTTTTTCTCTGTGGCTGATCTCAGGGCCACTGATGCAGTTGCAGGTAGAGAGCAATGAATCCAAGGCTTCTGTGGAATGGAACCCGGTTCATTGTTCAAAGTGGAAAGATGGGTCAGGGATCCTGGGACGATCCTGTTGGGATGATGGGGCCCACCGTGAGGTTTCAGAGGTGATAATAAATCACCTGTGATTATAGGAGATTTGAATGCTTTTCTTTGTAATAATTTTCACATTTTCTACAATATATCTGTAATAATGTTCATTGTTTATTCTGTATACCTATAAGACTTTTTTTTAAATGCCTTTACTGAGATATAATTAACATACGATCCAATTTACCCATCTAAACTGTACAAGTCAACACATTTTTAGTGTATTTGTGGGGCTGTGCAGCCATCACTGCAGTCTAATTTAGAAAATTCTGTCGCCCCCAAAAGAATCCTCACACCCATCCGCAGTCACTCCCCATTTTCCCCACGCCCAGTCCTAGGCAGCTACTAACCTACTTCCTGTCTCTGTAGTTGCCTATTCTGGATACTTCATATGAATGGAATTATAATACATGTCATTTTTTGTGACTTTCTTCACTTATAATGAGTTCAAGTTCACCCATGTTGTAGCACATTTCAGCACCTCATTCCTTGTATTGTTGCATAATATCCCATTGTATGGACATATCACATTTTTTTAAACCATCAGTTGATTGACATTGTTACACACACACACATACACATTTTAATTACTATGAACATTTGTGTAGAAGTTTTTATGTGGATGTGTATTTCCTTTTCTCTTGGGTATATTTACCTAAGAATGGGATTGCTGGGTAACATGAAAACTCTGTGTTTAACAGTTTTAGGCACTGCGACACTTTTCACAGCAGCTACACTATTTTACACCCCCACCCTCAGCAGTGGATAAGGGTTTTACCTTTTCCACATCCTTGTCAACACCTGTTATTATCTTTCCTTGTGATTATAGCCATCCTAGTGGATGTGAAGTGGTATGTAATTATGATACCTATATGACTTTTGAATTTTTAAAAAATATGAAGTATTTTTTAAAGACCCAATAAAATGAACGAAAAGGAAATTGGTAAGTGAGCTCTGATGTGTGCAATTGAAAGCATATTTTATGATTAAAATGAGAAAACAAGCTTGGAACCCATCTAACCTGTTGGCGATTTCATTTCAGGTGGCCTCTATGCAGTTTATTAATATTGTAGTCCATTCAGTAGAAGATATGAATTTCAGAGTTCATCTCCAGTATGAATTTACCAAGTTAGGCCTGGACGAATACTTGGATGTAAGTAGAGTTGAAAGCTTCGGCTCTAATATAAGACCTGGTTTATTGCCTACCCTCAAAGATACACGTCCGCAGGGGCGAAAGAACACTTGTGGCCCTATGCCGTCCACTTACTGTACTGCTAGGTAAGAGGGAGCCACCTGAGGGGTGCAGTCTGCCAGAGAAGCTGGGTTCTTGCAGGCCTCCTGGGGCCTCCGCTGTCTTCGCCAGCAGCTTTTAGTGCCGGAGGCAGAGAACCTCTCGTATACGGCCTTGCTGCAGCTCCCCTCTGCTTTGGAGATCTAGGGTCAAGTCTCACTGCACCCCTCATTCGGGCGGGCTGTTGGGAAATTCACATTCTTGGTTACTCTGGGGAACCTGATTGTGCAGGGAAGGTCAAACCCAGACTGCTGTCGAGCGATGAAAAATTCCTTAGAGCATACAAAAAAAGAGAGAAATGAACACTAGGGACTTCCTTGTGTAGTTGTTAAATTCTGCTGAAAATGTTTGTGGCAGAAGTTCTTGTTAGAAGTTCTACTTTTAGTTCTTGGGACAGGAGGGTTTCTCTTTCTCGTGCTCCCTTGCAGAAATGCTCAGCCAGTTCCCTGAAGCCCTTCAGAAAGTTGATGTGAAAATTGTAAATGGACTTGAGTAGCTCCGTGTGCACAGAATGTACCCTTTCCTTGGACTCCTTGGCCGTCACGCTTTCCATTCTAGATATGAATGGTCCATTTGAACTTGGAAGGTCACTAGTGGTTGGGCAAGAATGGTTGGCCTCAATTTCAAGGCTGTTTCTAGTTATGAAGAAGTTAGAAGCCCTTCCCCTGGAGCTCAGCTGCCCATTGTCCTCAGGGGTGGAGCCAGGGGATCACACATCGGTACCCTCAGTTTATTGCAAGGTGGAATCACAGAATCGGTTACTCTGCAGCTTATGGCCTTGCTCATCAGACCAGGAGAGACTGGCCTCATGTTGTCTAAGGCTCCTCAGAGAGAGGCATGATCGGTTTCTACTGAAGAATTGCTTTGAATTGTTTTCCCATTTAAAGATCCACTAATATCTTTGATAGGATAATGTACTGAAAGGTATTTTGAGATCGTGGTTTGTCTGTCTTTCCCCCACGTGCTCTGAGAGGAGCAGCATTAGAACAGAATTTGGGTGTGGAGCTCCGTAATGCTGCTCCGGGTTCAGTTTTGTGATGGCCATGCAGAACTCACTTCAGGCTCCGGGTTACAGGTAGTAACGTGTTAGCACCTGTTGTTCATTGTGAAATCTGAGAAAAATCCTGCTAAACTTCTCCAGTTTTTTTTCTAGACTCCACCCTTATTTAGAAATCTTTCTCAGTTCTGACTCCCAGACCAAAATGGAACGTACTCTCTTCCAGCAAGCTCAGGGGTAGGACGCCAGATCAGACCGGGGAGAAAGTCTGCTTTCCTGGGGGTTTATGCAGAGTAGGGTTCCTCGGAAAATTTTAAGACTTTTTCAAAACACTCTGTTTCTCTAACTTCCTGCTCTGTGGGTTCTGGACCCTGATGAATAGAAGAATATGATAAGCATATAGTGTACAAATGCTTCATTTGTTTACAAAAACCAGCCTTGTTGAGGAGCCATTGATTTGCTCAGTACATGTTTATTGACACCATCCATGTGCCAGATATTATTCCAGCTACTCATGTATTCCCCGGGGAAAGCCCTGACTTACGTTACTTCTAAGGAAGAGTCCTGGTCTACTTGACCTCTAACTTCACCGTAGAGCTGGCTCACTTCCTCTGGAATGCCTGGCCTGGGATGCAGAGAATGGGGGTGGGGGGAGCTTCCTGACCTGTGCTTTGGGGAACCCTGAGCTCCTCGTGGGGGGCAGTGTTGTAGGGAAGTACTAGTAATCATGGAGGGTGGGCTCTAGCAATTTGTGTTAAAATAAGCCCCCAGGCCAATATAGTCTATCCATGCCTGCCCCACTGTCCCCCAACTCTACCTCCAATTAGAACTGCCATCATTACCCAGGCCAGTTACCACCCACTCCAATCTCTCCTCCTACACAGATAGCTCTCAGGTTTTATGTTACCCGTGACTCTTGTTCCCATTCAAAGTTGTTTTTAATTTTTCTATTTTCCTGACTTCACCTGCATCAAAAGGTGTTAGGTTGGAATATACCCACATGGGGAATATACCCACAGGAAGGATTGGGGAAATGAGTGTATATTTGGGAGAGGGTCTTCCCCAGGAAGCAAGCGGATGGGACCCTCTGGGATGGTCACTCCTTAAATTCTCTTAAGGAGGAGGACATATCAAACCCTCTCTTGGAAAAGACTAAACTACGTAGGCTGTTGGGCAGTTATGTTCTGTTTCCACAGACAGGCTAACCCCCCTGCTCTTGCCATTTGATGTTTAGAAGCTGAAACACACGGAGAGTGACAAGCTACAGGTGCAGATCCAGGCGTACCTGGACAACGTGTTTGACGTGGGAGCTCTGCTGGAAGACGCCGAGACCAAGAACGCAGCCTTGGAAAGGGTGGAGGAGCTGGAAGAAAACCTCTCTCATGTAACTACTTCCCAGAAAAGGAAAACATGCCTGTGTTTCAAGGGGTGCAGAGCAGAATAAGTGTCCACGTTGGTGGCCGTGAATGACAGGACGTGGAGTGTAGGGATGAGCTAGGGAGCTGTCAGAGATCACTCGGGGTTCCCTCAGGAAGGCAGGTGCGTTACTTCACACTCCGTGGGATCGTGGCCTTGACTTAGCGCACCTGCCCAGTGTCTGCCGAGTCCACATTCCCTGGCCACGTTGTTGTTGGCACAGGAGTGCTACGTGATAAGCATTACCTCCAGGGAAGTGCAACTCAAATGTGTGCACTTGGCCCTAGGTGAATAAGTTTCTTCTTCTGAATATGAGTCACCTTCTACCGAATGTGTCCACACAAGCCCGTGGACAGGGCGTCTGGTAGCTTCCTGATGCCGGTCTGCTCATTCCTGCCTTGTGGCTACTCAAGGTTCTAGATTCACTTCAACAATGAGCCTTTTCAGGGGAATCGGTGCGCTTTCCACATGGCCTGCTCTTTCAGGCAGCGTGTCCTCTCAGTGTGATGTTTGCACTGTCTCAGGGCTGGGACTCGTTTTCCATTCAGGGGGTTTTCTTGCTGTGGACCCAGGAGGATGAGAGGTTATTCATTTGTTCATCCACGCAGCTGATACTGTATAATACTGCAAGAATGAATGGAAAAACGGTGCTGCTTAAAAACCCAGGCCTTGTGAGGACTCGATTCTTCTGCTGGATCCTGACAGTGTCCTTGATAGTGAAATGAATTCTCTCTTTTGGAGGGACATTTATTTTCCCCTTTGAACGTTTCTTTTCCTCCACATTTTTTTTCATATATTTTATTGATTTTTTACAGAGAGGAAGGGAGAGGGATAGAGAGTTAGAAACATCGATGAGAGAGAAACATCGATCAGCCGCCTCCTGCACATCTCCTACTGGGGATGTGCCCGCAACCCAGGTACATGCCCTTGACTGGAATCGAACCTGGGACCCTTGAGTCTGCAGGCTGACGCTCTATCCACTGAGCCAAACCTGTTTCGGCATCCTCCACATTTTCTTAGTTCCTAGTATTACCTGTGTTTAATGTCCTTCACCTTTTCCCATCACTCTTGACATGTGCATCTTCGTGGCTGTGGTTAAGCCAAGTTGCCAGAACTCCCAGCGCGGGCTATGCCTGGCAGACACCTGCTTGGGAAGAGCATTTACAGCAGGGGTCCTCAAACTACGGCCTGCGGGCCACATGCGGCCTGCAGAAAACATTTATCCGGCCCGCTGGGTGTTTTTGCCGCCGCTGTGTGCATAGGAATTTGTTCAGAGTTTTTTTTTAAACTATAGTCCGGCCCTCCAACGGTCTGAGGGACAGTGAACTGGCCCCCTGTTTAAAAAGTTTGAGGACCCCTGATTTACAGGCTTAGTGTTTCTTCCCTTAAGAAATTTGCATGGTATTCTGACCTGATCGATGTAAGTCTCTCCTCGTCCCTTCCCCCTGCCTCCCTGATTTTCTTCACTTGCGATCGCTTTCAGGGAGAGGTGAGAAGTGCGAAGCTGCTCAGTTCTAGAGCCTCATGTGGAGGGTAACTGTCCGACCCATGGCTCACCCGGCCCTGCTCTGGAAGCCTCTGCCAGCATTGCACGGCCAGACCTGTGTCACCGCTTTGGTAGCAGGCCACCTGTGTGCTTGAACGGCCCCTCCAAAATGGCTTTTGGTATTTGGGTAGTTTGGGTCCAAACAAGCAGTCGTATTTTTTCAACTGGTTACCTGGAATAACACAGCCGAGTTTTCTGGATCAACAGTTTTCAAAACCTTTTCTCGGGGGGAAAGGTGGGCTTCCTCCTCCCTCACCCGTTCTTCTCCAGCCCCTGCAGAAATGGAGAGAGACGTGAAAGAACGAACGTATGGGTTTTATTAAGGACCGTATATCAATTAATTCCCATTAAAAACAGAATGTATTCAGAGCCATAGCATAAATATTAACATTTCCGTAAAACAGCCTGTGGAGCACACACAGGGCTGTGACGGGCCCCTGCCGGCCTCTGAGCGACTCCACTTGCTGAGGACCCAGGCGCTGACCAAGGTGACCCTGGGTTGTGACATGGCCTCCCTTTCAAACCTTACAGTTGTCTGAAAAGCTGCAAGACACGGAGAACGAAGCCATGTCCAAGATCGTGGAACTGGAGAAGCAGCTCATGCAGAGGAACAAGGAGCTGGATGTGGTTCGAGTGAGTGTGACGGTGACAGCGGCCCCGTGGGCACCGTGGGGAGGGCGCTCCGGCCTTCGTCTGGCCGAGCCTGCATGTCAGAGGAATGCACTGGGGCAGCCTATCTGTTGGGACTATTTCCGAGGTGGTCCTCCAAAGAAAAGTGCACAGGTGTGGGCTTTACACGTGCGTGTGCAAGCAAACGCTCCGGGCGGTATGTCCTTATCACAGGTTTTGGGAGCAACGATATTTTCCCATCTGGACGAGTTGGAGTTGATCATGTAGACCCCTCATTTGGTTAGAAATAAAAATACAGCATGGATTTAATCCATGCCACTTATTTATTTTCAAGAGAACTTGCATTTCTTTGTTACTTGGCTTCGCTTCTACGTGAAACCAGATTTGGTGGTTGCCATGGAAATGGTGAAATCGCAACCCAGGCGAGACCTAATGGCATTCACCAAAAAAAAAAAAAAAAAAAAAGGAAAGAAAAAAAGGCAAAGCAAAACCAATCCATTTTACTATCAGATAAGCACAGCTATTTTATTTGGCGCTAGCATTGTTTTACCTTCCGTGTCAGGTATTTATGGAGCCCCATCCATGTGTTTGGAATCGTAGGGAACATAAAACCACCGAAATGCCTGGAGGGCGTTCAGGCAAATGGCTTGCCTTTGCACCACCGTTAATGAAATGGCACGTTTTATGCGATGGTTATCGTGTCTGTGTGTGTTGCTTGATCGTCTGACATGTCCTAGAGTTAACTCTAGGAAACTTACTTTCTGGCACGCCATCGAGACAGAGTTGTAGCATATGGACTCAATTCAAGGGCAGACTCTCAGATGATTAATCATAGACGGGGTGTGAAGAACGTCTCCCTGCCTGCTGGAGGTTTGTGGTGAGAGGTCCCCTGTACAAGGCCCAGCAAGTCGGTGCCATAAAATCCTCTTGCGGGCCTCTGTGAGCCCCCAGGAAAAGGAACCGGGACAGCCTTTGAATTGAAATGGTAACTTCTTTGTTTTCGGCTAAAAACCTCGACAGAAATAAGTGATCAGTGGAGGGAAGCACTGGCCCGTTTGTTAACTGTATTCCCGGACGGAAAAGGTTGCAGCCATGGCTGCCCTGTGCTTGGCCGGGGGCATTGTGAAGGCTGGGGAAACCCGTTCAGGGCCAGCCAGCCCCTGGTCACTCTTCAGCAGGCTATCCCACATCTTGCAGATTTTTAATCCACTCTGACTTCCGTCCAAGGCTAATGTAGGGCCCCTTTGGCTACTGCTAGCTGATGTATCCAGAGTTAAAATGAATTTTAAAGTGAGTGAAAGGAAAACATGCTAGACCACCGGAATACCCACTGGATAACCCAAAATCAGCTCCAACATCATGTCTGGGTCATCTCTGCTCTGTGCCTCTCCCCCCTGCAGGGAAAGTCGAGCCTTAATTAACTGAAAGAACCACATTAGCAATAAGAATTGCTAACATATATTGCATGCATTGCCAGTGAGCAAACAATAACGAATGGGACTTTATAGGTTCTGGCTGAGTTCCATAGAATTCCTCTATACGAGTATCCTTTTTCTTTTCTTTCTTTTTTTGCCTTTTGGCTATTTTCTTTGTCCTCAGTTTGCCCATCTGGTGGTGAGAGGCAAGCGTGTCCTGTGAAGACAAACTCTTGACCGTGGACTCTTTTGCAGGAAATCTACAAAGATGCAAATACCCAGGTTCACACCTTAAGGAAAATGGTCAAAGAAAAAGAAGAAGCCATTCAAAGACAGTCTACCCTGGAAAAAAGGATTCATGAACTGGAAAAACAAGGGACCATTAAAATTCAGAAGAAAGGGGATGGGGACATCGCCATACTGCCGGTTGTGGCTTCTGGCACGTTGTCCACGGGCTCGGAAGTAGCAGTGGGACCAGTAACGGGGGCTGCCGCCTCGGGACCCTTGCCCCCTCCTCCCCCACCTCTACCTCTGTTGTCAGATGCACCTGAAACAGGTAAGAAGCCTTGGTGGGAGAATGGGGTGGGATTGGGATATTTGTTGTTCTTTCCTTTACTCACTGCTCACTGATGTTCTCTGTGTGCACGCGGCCTATTGCCGGAAAAACCATTCCCCTGTTTTCAAAGTCAATTTGTTTCTTTTCTTTTGCTAGTGCAAAATGGTCCGGTAACACCACCTATGCCGCCCCCTCCTCCGCCCCCTCCCCCGCCACCGCCTCCCCCACCCCCTCCACCTCCGCCTCTGCCGGGTCCTGCCTCCGAGACTGTGCCAGCTCCTCCTTTACCACCACCCCTTCCTCCTTCTGCACCCCCGCTGCCTGGGACGTCTTCACCCACAGTGGTTTTCAACTCAGGATTAGCAGGTAAGAGCAGAGAATAAGACCCAGCCAGGTACCCGTGTGAGAAATACTCATTGGTCTTACTTCCGAGGGTTCAAGCCGTTCTTTCAAAGTCCAGGTCTCTTGAAACGTCATGTCTCTCCTCTTGATAGAACATCCTGCTAAGGTGCCGGCGAGATGGTCACACTCAGGAGGCCTTTCTCTCTCAGTAGGTTTGTCCCTCTCTCCCTGGCAGGAGGTCTTGATCCTGCACCGTCTTAGCACTTTCCAGGGAAGGGAGAGAGACAGGTTACCTTCTGGGGGTCCGTGCGTTTTCACAGGTTCAGCGGACACGCCTGGACATCTGTCATAGTTGAAGCTCTGACCAGACTGCTCTGGTGCTTGCGGCTCATTTCCAAGGCTGCGGTGGTTCTAGAAGACAGGCAGCCCTAACTGGTTTGGCTCAGTGGATAGAGCGTCAGCCTGCAGACTGAAGGGTCCCAGGTTCGATTCTGGTCAAGGGCATATACCTTGGTTGTGAGCACATCCCCAGTGGAGGGTGTGCATGAAATGCTTGCTGATAGTGCACCTCGTCTTCCTGCTGACCAGGACCCAATGCGGCATCCTCACCCCCCAGCCATAAGGCAGGGTGGGTGTGGGCCAGAGGAAGACAGTTCCTCTAATGCCTTGAGATGTAAGTTCTCATCTTCGACTCCAAAATGCATGTTTACTCCTCTCTACAACACTGCAAGCTGTTCTCCCAGCCACGAGTGTCTTCCTGGCATGGGGCGTTGCTCTGAGCTTTGCGGTGCCGTCCCGTGACATGAGATGATCCCGCTTCCTCATCCACTTCAGTCCCTCGGCGAGGTCTCTCATTTCTGCCGAAGAGCCGCCGCTGTAATATTTTCTCATTTCCAAGGCTGCGGTGGTTCTAGAAGACAGGCAGCCCTAACTGGTTTGGCTCAGTGGATAGAGCGTCAGCCTGCAGACAGAAGGGTCCCAGGTTCGATTCTGGTCAAGGGCATATACCTTGGTTGTGGGCACATCCCCAGTGGAGGGTGTGCAGGAGGCAGCTGGTCAATGTTTCTAACTCTCTATCCCTCTCCCTTCCTCTCTGTAAAAAAATCAATAAAATGTATTGAAAAAAAAAAAAAAAAAGACAGGCAGCTGTCAAAGATTTCCCAGCCTGCGTCCCTGAGCATGTCCTGCCACAGCATGCCCAGCCGGTCTGTGGTGCTAACTCATCCTAGTGACAGAAAGCCGCCCACAGAAAACTGGTTCCACACCCCAACTTCTATAAAACTGTCCACGTAACAAACACAGTAATGTTCTCAGGAAACCAGTGACTTACTTTAACCCTGCAAGGTCTTCCCAAACTACCACTTTCTTCTAGAGCCTTTATTGCCTCTGAAGGACAAAAACAGAAAGCCCGTTATCGTGGAACTGTTGGCTTTTGGAATATACACAAACCAAAACGCCTTAACCAGCCCCAGGAACCTGCCCCCTCAACAGGCTGTTTTCCATGTGAAAGCCTGTAATTGTCGTGTGCACTGGGCTCACGGATTCGGCTTGGCCCCTAAGCGCGCTCATGTGAGACGTGCCGGCTGTGGTGTCTCTCCTTCGGACCTGCTTCCTTTCTCTCTGGCGAAACCTCACATGTGACGCAGCCTTTGCCGGCACGCACCTGAGCTCCGCCAGGTCTCAGGACTGCCTTGCCAAGCACAGGAGCCACCAGGCTGAGATGTGGGTCCAGGGCCCTGCTGAACGGGGTCTTGTCCTCGCTGGTTCATTTTGTTGCCTGCTTAATTTTAAAATGCGTTGGCCTGTTGCTTCTCTCTTCAGCCGATTCCCCACTGCCGCCTTTGGAGCTGGTCCCATGGGGAGGTGTCCCCTTTGTGTCTTCCGCAGTTTAGAGGACTGTGTGTGGGATTGAAGAAACTCCTCTTTAGTGCCCTGTGTCCTCTAAACAATCACAGGAGGCTCTGTGTTACAAGATGTAAGGATTGTAAGAACCTTACGCGTAGTTGGTAGCTTGAGATCCAGCAGTTTCTACAAGGCCTTTAATCTCTTTTTATTACTCAGCCTTAATTTGGCCGTTCATGCTTAGTGGTGCGGGCCATGTTGTGAGATGCTTTGCCGGGTTGTTCAGGAGCTCTCTGGAACCAAGACGCCAGACAGAATCAGGATGTCCCAGTAGAGCCAGAGACAGAGCTGGGATATGCCTAGGGCTCTTGGGAAGCCAGAAACCTGTGACCACTAGGTCCCTGGTTCTGCAGGCCCAAGGAGGTCTGTCCCCACAACGGGCCATGAGCAAGTGTGCTCTTGGTGGCCGAGACAGGGACCAGGAGGAGGTCCCCTATGTTTATTCAGTCAAGTTTTCGTTGCAGTTTATAGAGGAAATCGTAGTGGTGGGAAATGTGCATTTGAAGCATAAGGCCAACTTCCTCAAATCTGCGATTGATCGACTGGCTCCCATGTCCTAGTGAGGTCAGCGCGGCAGGGCGCTGGGCAGTCGGCACCCTGTGTTGTCTCTGTGGTGGAATGTGCTTTGGAACTTCACAATGAGGGTGTGGACTCCAGCTGATTATTTTTCATTAAAAATTTTTCCTTATCTTTAGGAATACTTAGCACAGTTGAATATGGCTGTTTGGGACCACTATAATGAAATCATTTTTTCCCTCTTCTAAAAAGGATTATTTTTTAAAACAAAATAAATGAGTCTTCAAGGCAGGCCCAAAGGGAAATGAATTTTGGCTCTGGGCTGCCTCGTGAAATGTGTCCGAGAAGCCTGGGATTCTATGTGAAGAGTGTGCCAGCTGCTAAGCCGCTTGACTCTAACTGTATCTAATGTGTTTTGTATTTTCTTTGTTCTTCCTGCTTCCACAAAAGATGGGCCCATCAAGCTTTTCTGTAGGTTGCTCCTCACTGAGTGTGTTGAGTATTTGCGTTGTGCTCCCGTTGATCACACCGTGCCTTCCATCTTTCCACTCCACCGTACACTGACCCATTGCATTTTGACTCTGTGTCTGCGGGAAGTCTCGGTGTTGGCTGACTGTTGTCCCAGGTTTGCCCACACGTATCAGGTGAACCTGTAGAGGAGAGATGATGGCCCTTTAAGCAGACATCCCGGATCCTGTGCCACATTCCTTCCTCCCCGAGGAAAGGAGTGTTTTTCCTTTTAGTTTAATTTTCATAGTTGGGTCTAAGGCCTCAGCTCCTGAAGGACTTTGCGTTTATTCTGGGGGAAAAGAGAAAGCACCACAGAACAAGGACGAGCTGCTGGTGCTGCCTCCCTGGGCTCCGGCTCTCTCCTAGAGCACCTACCCACCCCCTTAGCCTGAGCACTGCATGCCATGGTCACCTACGGAGCTCCTCCTCGGATCATACTGCTTCCCCAGAGTCAGGACAGCCTGCCCTGAAGACTTTATTGCTTGTCTTCTGATCTCAGGCTTATTAGAGGCTTATTACTCATCTGGCTAAAAAGTTAACAAATAAGGTGGCTGCCAATGGAATGACCTGCAGTGAGTGTCCGGAGGCCACAGTGCCTGTGGAGGGATGCTGGAACCAAACGTCCCTGGCCTCTCACCAAAGATTATGGTCAGCTCACCGCACAGCCCCTTCCCTGCGCCTTCCTCCTTCCCCTCAACGTCACCCAAGTGCCAGCCCAGAGGAAGGGCTGTTCCTGGGTCCCAGGTTCCTGGGCAGCGTAGGCAAAGGATGCAGAGTGGCGAGGAGCCCGGCACTGCTGGGCAGTAGGGCCTGAGGTGTTGCACTTGGGAGTGGGAAGGCCTGGTGTGGCAAAGCTGTGTTTCTGTGTCCCTGCATGCCTTTGTGTCAATGACAGATGACATCCTGCTGTGGATTATGTCGCATGTGTAACTCTGGAGGAATGAGAGGCGCTGTCTGCCTCCCACTGAGGCAGGCAGCCAGGTAAAAGCCCAGGTGTGTTTTGCATTTTTTCCCCTTGCGCGGAAGTTCTCCTTTTCTTGCTAATGATGGCAAGTAGCAAAGCTCCCAAGCTCCCAAGTAGCATGGAGGGCGTACCAGGACATAATTAAGAAGGCAGATATATATAACTTGAATGGCTTGGGAGGACTTCTTTATGATGTGTAATTAACTAATGGAATTTTTAATGGATTGCCTTTTTAGCTCATTTCCCCAAAGTAAGAGGGGTTGGTGCTGCCCCCTTGACCCTCAAAGATAGAGCCCTCCCTCTCTGTTCAGAGGTTTTCAGTGTTTTGACTGAGCTTGTCCATGCCTCTGGTCACAGGCAGCTGAGCCCTGGGGAGAACTTGCTCTTCATGAGGGGGAGGGGCGGGGGCCATTCTCAAAAAGCAGTACAAGTCCTGGTTCCAAGTACCCTTCTGTCTCCTTGAACATTTTCTATTTTCAGCCACTCATGGCCCTGAGTCTGTTGAAATAACTCGACAGCCAATATAACCCCCATTTTTGAAATCATCCACAGGAATGCATTGCTCTGGCTGGAAGTCAGCATTCCTGATGCTACATTCCTGGTGGTTCAGAGAGACACTGTCTGTAGTCTCTGGTCATCTTCTGAGATTCGTTCAGAGATACCTGTTCCAGAACCAAGGATTTAGGATGTCGAAGTTACACTGGGGCTCGGAATTTCAATCTCAGTCCCCAGAGCAGGTGCCCTCTCTGCTGTCTAATAGCATGACTGATCATTTTTGCTCCCCAGTATTTATTTGTCTTAAGCATTGTCCAAACATTGTGACCGTGATGCGGCAAACCAGTTGCCCGAATTAAAAAGAAAGTCAGCTCCCAGCTCATAGATGACTTGAACACAGTGCTGTACCAGCCGGCCTCGGATTGCTCTGGCCGCAGCCACGTGCGGTGTTTGAACACCCGGGCGCCACCCGCCAGCCTTCCTCCAGGGTTAACATGTCATCTGCAAGGACTGTTGTCTGATTGCTCTGGAGTGTCATGGGGTCTTGGTGGAATCTTAATTTTGTTCTCTCTGACCTCTGTAGCTGTGAAAATTAAGAAGCCAATCAAGACGAAATTCAGAATGCCAGTTTTTAACTGGGTTGCCCTGAAGCCAAATCAGATCAATGGCACGGTCTTCAATGAAATTGATGACGAGCGAATTCTGGAGGTATCTTTCCTACGGGTTACTCTGTGCAGCAAAGCCAAAATGGGTGTGTTGGTAACCTGGGCATTTTGGTGATTAAAGTGCTGGTGTTTTAAGGGCTTTGATGGAAAGAAAAAAAAAAGGGATATGTGATGTCAGGGAATAAAATTGGAAACTATTTTATAAGGTGGGTTTAAAACTTTGTTTAAAAAGTTATGTTAAATGAAATAGTTTTGAGCACCTTCAGTGTATGCCGTGTGTGTGTGTGTGTGTGTGTGTGTCTGACACAAGATCTTCCCTTAACTTATAAAAGGGCATAAAACTCTTTATTAAATTACAAGTGAATGAGGACTTAATAACATACTCACTAGCTGGTTTGATGGGTAGTTTTAGTCTGTGGTTGCCATCCCTGCAAGCTAATTATTGAAAGGCATTTGAATTGGCTGGTTGGGACCAGTCATCTACTTTCGATTTTCACGCCTGCATATGTGGCATAACTCACACTCGGGCACAAACCAGAAAATAGAGCAGGCCATGGTCAAAGACAGGCATCGCGTAAGTTCTTTGACACTTAACAAACTGTGTAAATGGTGGCTTCCTAACTTAATTTTTAAGTTTAATTCATTCATCTTCTCTACCCCAGGATTTAAATGTGGATGAATTTGAGGAAATTTTTAAGACAAAAGCCCAAGGTCCTGCCATTGATCTTTCTTCAAGCAAACAGAAGATAACGCAGAAGGGATCCAACAAGGTGACGTTACTGGAAGCAAATAGGGCCAAAAACCTTGCCATCACTTTAAGGAAGGCTGGAAAGACCGCCGACGAGATCTGTAAAGCCATTCATGTGTAAGTGCAGGGCATTCTGGGAAACTATATTTCAGTAAAACAAGAAAGTTATGAATTCGTAGATGACAGAAATATTTTAAGAGGCAGGATCTAAGATAAACGATGGAGCAATTCTTGATATCCCCACACCAGAGAGTCCCTGTGTTACATCTGTGCAACTTGAGAGCTTAATAAAATGTTAACACAAAAGAGGTGGACCAGAAATTACCCTCGGGAGTGCTGTATTACAAGAGTAATTATAATCGTTTTGGAAGAACAACGGGATCGTGACATTAATTATCTTGGTCGGCTCTCATGTAGGTCTACGGCAAAGCTTCCGTAGAAGGAAAGTTGGGTGGAGTATTGCAGATGCTAAGAAAAGGAAGAAATGTCAGTTTTCTCTGGAGTATCTGATTTTTATTCAGATTTGTTGAATACGAATGTGATGGCATTTGTGGGATGATGCCATTCAACGCCAGATGCACATATGATATGGAGGCACATTTCAATTTATAACAATAGGAATGTGATTGCTGTTGCTTTTAGTGCTTTCAGGACATTTTAAACAAAGTTGAGTTATTTTTTTTTTATCCTTAAACAGCAGAGAAGGCATTGGTTTTATTTATTTTTCTCTTAGAAAAATCTTTCTACTCTTCTTATGGTCATGATGACTTTCAAATATGATAAGGATGTTATTAGATGTTTTAGGAACTAAATCATTATAAATTGACATTTCATAAATTTTGATCAGGGATTCCTTCTGCAGTAAATGGCCCCAAGAAATCATCTGTTCCAATTTTATGTCCTCAGCCAGGATCATAATCTAATAGTCCAGTGCATTCCTCCAGTCTGTTCTGATTTCTGAGGTTGAAACCTGATACACGCTTTGGTTTTTAATTTGTACATGCCTTGTTTGCCATGGTGATTAAATATAATTATATTATTTTGCTGAACAAAGATTTTCCGTAGAACAATATAGAGGTTGTAGCAGATACTTCGTTGGTTCAAATTGAGCATACATCCACAGGGATCTGGTATTCCTTCAAGGGATGTATACACTTAAGCCAAAATATCCCTATGGCACAGGCATTTGGTTGCATTTTTTTCTAAAGAATAAAATATATTCCCAGTTATTGGTTTAATTGAAATATTTTATAGAGTTCACCAGATATTCTCTATTGTGTGTACAGTATTAATCTCCCAATTAGCAGTACTTAACATGCCTAAAATCCATGTCCTTGAATGACTTCACCATTGATGATTCAGCCTTCCTCTGCCTCTTCCCACTGTCATTTACTGCTGATTTCTGGAGGCTTCGAGCTATAGTGATAGCTTAAAAAACTGTGTGGGATGTGATGAGGTCCAGGTTGTCAGGAAGGACCAGCGAAGGTGCTGGCTGCACAGTCAGGAGTCAGCACCACGGGGCGTCTTCACCGTCCATCTGTGACGCACTGGCTGGGTGGCTCCCTAGCGGACCCGATGGAGGTGTGGGTGAAAGGGTGGGGGCTTTCTCTCCAACACTGACATGTCCGCATCTGCCCTCAGCTTTGACTTGAAGACGCTGCCTGTGGACTTTGTGGAATGTTTGATGAGGTTCTTGCCGACCGAGAATGAGGTGAAAGTGCTTCGGCTCTACGAGCGGGAGAGGAAGCCGCTGGAGAACTTGTCGGACGAGGACCGCTTCATGATGCAGTTCAGCAAGATCGAGAGGCTCCTGCAGAAGATGACCATCATGGCCTTCATCGGGAACTTCGCCGAGAGCGTCCAGATGCTCACGCCTGTGAGTGGACCGACTCTGGCAGGGGAGGGGGTCCGAAGAGACACCGAAACCCTTGTATTGGTTGAAGTCTCTCAGGATTGTGCTTCGTGTCATGGGCTCTAAAGACTCCTTCCCAGGACTTCCTAGATTCCATTGTTAGTTCGGCCGTCTTTTTCATTTTGTGTATGCCAAGTGAATTTGAAAATGGTGACGTTTTCCATATCGCCATTCTCCCTAGAGGATGAATGTGTCCTCTGGATTTTAAAGTCCCGGTCAATACAGAGGACAAGGAAAAACCATTTTCTTAGCCTTAGTCCCCTCCTGAAGATACCAGGTCTCTGGCTGGGGTGGCAAAGCTGAAAATGTGACTTTCGTTTCAAAAACCACCCCCAATCTTTAGCGAACAGGTTTATTGGCTTCGTCGGAAGCATCGCATTTATCTTCCTCCTTGGGGTTTGTCACAGTGCACTGTGGTGATGTAGGAAGAAGAGCCAGCCATCTCCTCCTCCTCTGTGTTAATCTGGTGGAGGCTATGAATATCACAGACATAAATATCATAGAAAGTTCTTTCCCAGTCCTGTTTCTGAACAAGGCTTTGTTAGTAACGGATTACAGCGGTACGGATATCTTCCGTCAGAAATCTTCCAAGAGCATCTGGAGGGTGGTTCTGCTCCTTTGCTGTTCTGTTTTCATCGCTGAGGAGCCCCATTGATTTAAAATATAAACTGTGTTCCATGGCGAGAGGGGGGCAGGGGGTGAGCTCTGCTGGGACACGCTGGTGACTGAGTCTCGTGGTCATAGGTTTTGTGACAGGCCAGTTCTGACATTTCTCCTCATTTCAAATACTTTGAGGGAAGAGCTTGCGTGGAATGACGTGGTTACCGAACACCCGGCAGAGCACTCACATTCACGTTCAGGAAAAAACAGAATCTCAGCATTGAGGCTGTAAGGTCTACAGGCAGGCCTGTTTTCTTCTGTGTTCACTCTTAGTTTCCAGTGAGAGTATCCCATTTTTAACATCTTTGTTTTTCTTCTCTCCCCTTTCTTCCTTTGACTGGAATCTAGCAACTGCACTCCATTATAGCAGCATCTGTCTCTATAAAGTCGTCTCAAAAACTGAAGAAAATTCTGGAGGCAAGTGAGGTTTCCTTGGTGCCTGGACGGGAGGGCGGGCCTGACAGCCCCATCCTCTGCCCGGGAGCTGGGCTGATGGGCTTCTCTCTTCTCGCTTTTGTTTGCAGATCATCTTGGCCCTTGGGAACTATATGAACAGCAGTAAACGAGGAGCAGTTTATGGATTTAAGCTTCAGAGTTTAGATCTGGTGAGTGGACTAAAAGCAATGCAAGAGCTCTCTGAGGCATAAAACAGCTGGCAGAGATTACGTCCTGGAGCAGAGAGTCTGCTCTTGGAAGTGGGCTGGGAGGTTGTGATGAGGATGCTCTGCTAGCGGAGGACCCATCGGTGCACGTGTTCTGGAACAGCGTTTGGCAGCAGGCACTTAGATCCTTAGAAACACTCCTACCCTGTGACCTAGTATTTCCATTTCTAGGAATCCATCCTCAGGAGTCTGAGTGATGGATGCCGTATTTACTCATCATTGCAAATAATTAGCAACATTGTAAAGAGCCAAGATTTGGGGAAATAATTAAAGATGCTATAGCAATAGTTCATACAGTGAACTCTTCTTCAGCTGTTAGAAGACCTGTGAAGAATTTTCAAAGAAGTAGGTAATTCTGTGTTGAGAAAAGAGAGCACAGGCTATAAATGGAATGTACAGATAATTTTCAACTAAGTAAAGTAGGTAGGAAAACCTGAATAGAAGTATGTTGAGATACAGAGAGGATGGATGGAATTGGGGAATTTTTAAAAACTGCTTCTTTATACTTTTCTGTCCTTTCTAAAAATGTTTGGCTTATTCCTGGATGTAACGGGTACCCTGGCTTTCAGAGCCCCCTGATTTATATGAACAGGAGCAGAGGAAATGCTGCGTGACCCAGCCTGTGCGGGGCCGACGTGGCCTCCATGCGAGGAGGTGGGGCAGTGACGGAGTCCCCAGCCTGGGCAGCATGTGGTTATTTGATAGTCAGTGTCCCATTAGTCACAGTGCTGTCCCCCAGAAGGTCATGAACTGTTGGGCAGGTCTGATTTGGGTCATGAGAGACCGGGGATGAAGAGAAGGGCTGAGTTCCATGTGGAGTCTGCAGGGTAGGAGCCCTGCTGTGTAGGGCGAACCTGTGCACACCTGTGGCTCCACACGCACTCCGGCTCTGGGCCTTCACCTGGGAGAGCACTACACCCGGAGTCTGTCTTCCTGCTTTGGAGCCAGAGAGGTGTGTGGTGGGGGAGCTCCTGTGAGTGCAGCTGTGGGGACAGTCCTAGGCGCCAGGGTCATCCCTAAAGTCGAGCATATCCCCTGGTCAGGACGTCCTCTAGTCATTTAAAGTCAGCGGGCTGGCTCCTCAAGGAACAGATCCAGGCTTGAATCTCCCAGCAATGTTGCTTGTCCATGTTGGGGCACCTGTACTCCAACATGAGTCACTGACTCTGGGAGAACGCCATCGATGGGTAACTCTCCCACGACCTCTCACTCTAACCCTTACTCCCTTTTGTTTTCAGCTTTTAGATACGAAGTCGACAGACCGAAAGCAAACACTGCTGCACTATATATCCAATGTCGTAAAGGAAAAGTATCAGCAAGTGTCCCTCTTTTACAATGAGCTTCATTATGTGGAGAAAGCTGCTGCAGGTACTGGACTTCCGCTGTTAATGTTCCTCCTGGGGACTGAGTGGCTTTAATCGGAGGGTGGGGGGGAGCCATTCTCTGCTTAGCAGACACTCCTCAGAACCTCTCTCAAGAGGCGGCTGAAGCATCCAGCTCTGAGCTGGAACCCATGGGCTATGGTGTGGCTCCTTTCTGGGAGCAGTAATGAACTTGGGCATGAAGGTGACCTCTCTCAGTGTTCTCTCTGTAAAGACCCAGGTCTCTGGGCCTTGTGCACCTTCCCTCTTCCATTTTTTTCCCTTTTTATTTTATTGCTGTTTTTTGAAATAAGAGAACGAGAGTCTGAGAATTACCCCTCAACAAACACTTGTATTTTGTGATGGTTCATGTGCTCAGGTGTGGTGGTTCTAAACATTTTGCCTTTAGTCTGAAAACAAGTTAAATTATCAGTACTTCTTGGTTGTGACTTTGCTATGACAGTTACGCATTTTCTCATTTAATCACCAGTGGTTCTGAGATAGCTGCTGTACTAGGCAATCATCTCCCCATGTTATAGATGAGAAAGCTGACTTTTTTAGAGGTTAAATGTCTTGCTCAACATCACGTGGGTCACAAGCAACAGAAACAGGACTAGAACCTAGATTGTCTTCTCAGACAGTGTATGGCCCAGGGTACCATGTCCTCTAGAAAGAATATTAGGTTAGAAAGAGGAACAACATGCAAATCAACCTCAGAGTTAGTTACAGGTTGTGATTCCCAAATTATCATTGTGAAACATGGTGTTTATTACAAATTCATATTCCTGAGGCCTACCACAGATTGCTGAATTGAATCTTTGAGGTTATTGTAACAGTTTGCATATCCATGCAGCATGTGTACTTATAGGCATAATCAAGTTTTATTTATCTTTTAAAAATTTATTTTTCAATTACAGATGACATACAATATTATATTAATTTCAGGTGTACAACATAATGATTAGACATTTATATTTCTTACAAAGATCACTGTGATAAATCTAGTACCCATCTGACACGATACACAGCTACTATATACTAGAGGCCCAGTGCACAAAATTTCGTGCACTGGGGGGTGAGGGTGGGGTCCCTAAGCCTGGCCTGTGCCCTCTCTCAGTCCTGGACCGCTTGGGGGATGTCCAACTGCCAGTTTAAACCTGGGTAGCGGGCCTAAGCTGGCAGTCGGACATCCCTCTCACAGTTTGGCACCCTCGCTCCTTACCACCTGCCTGCTCACTGCTCCAAGCCCCACATCTGGCTGAGCAGCGCTCCCCCTGTGGGAGCACACTGACCACCAGAGGGCAGCTCCTGTGTTGAGCGTCTGCCCCCTGGTGATCAGTGTGCGTCATAGTGACCAGTCGTTCTGCCATTTGGTCGATTTGCATATTAGGCTTTTATTATATAGGATTATTGACTGTATTCCCCACGCTCTACTTTTCATCCCCATGATTATTTTTATAACTGGCAATTTCTACTTTTTAATCCCTTCCACGTTTTTAACCGCCCCCCCAAAAAATCTGGCAAACATAAAAATGTTCTTTGTATGTATGAGTTTAAGTGTTATTTATCTTTGTAATTCCCTTTGCCCTGGCAAATTGATCATGGGACTAAATGAATGAATGAACAAGTGAATGAATGAATGAATGAATGAGGGGATGCACTGTTACTGGGATGGATGCTGCTGGAACCGGGTGGAGACGGAGAGGCAGGTAGACGTGATAGTGTCATTATGAAGGACTGAATGCCACCTGTGGCAGGTCGGCTGAGGGGTCAGGGCTCACTGGGCTGTGACCAGAATTCTGACCATTTCAAGTGTTCCTCTGCCTAAATTAGAGGAGGTCTTTAGCATCACAATTTTAATAAAAAAAAAAAGTTTTAAAAAATTTCAACCTTACTAATTAGCACGTTTTATTTGGCCCAAATGAGATTCCCTGAAGTGTGATTTGGAAAAAAAAAATCTGTGGAGGAGATGGAGGAACTCTGGCTGCATTGTTTTCTATGTTGATTTTCTGGTGCCCTGGTGCGCTGCCTCGGATTCCTTATACTTTCACTCATTCACTCACCTTCGTGTGTCCAGTGCACCTTTTTGATTCCCTGCTGTGTACTTGGCACCATCCTAAGCATTGAGGAGTCAAAGCTGACCAAGGCAGTGTGAGTGTAGTTATAGGGAAAGTGTGCTGCATTGTTCTGTAATCCATGCATGTGCAGAGCTGCGTCAGCAGTGGGGAGCCGGAGCTGGGTCCTGGACGCCCTGCAGGAGCTGCCGGAGCTACCTGTCCTGGGAGGTGGCCGCTCTGTGCTAACAAACCCTTCAACGCAGGCAAGGGTTGTTTAACAAAAAGAAGGCTGTCTTGGGGCCAAGTGGTCAATACAAGTTCAACAGGTAAAATGCTGCCCTCTGCTGGAGAGCCACAGAAATGCAGAGTCCAGAGTGTTCCGGTCTTAGAACCTCTATAGGCCAACCCATAGGCCTCGTCTCCTGTAAGAGACCTGGAGTAGGTGTGTAAAAGCCCCGGACTGGAGTCCATGGTTTTTATCTGAACTCCATCTCTGCCACCTTCCACCTCTAGGGCAGGGCACGTAACCCCTCTGTGCTGCTTTTTGTTGGTGAAATGGGTAACAGTACAAATGAATCATTGCATGTGAGGAATGTTAATGCAGTGCTGGATAGTGAGCACTAGGGGAGTTATTTATGTTAAAGGATGTCTGCACTGAAAGCTGGAAATGAGGTCTGAGCCCCCTGAGTGACCCAGGGGATCCCCTGAGAGCTCGGCGCGCCAGCCAGCCCACTGTGGTCTGGACTTCCCGGCCGAGTTCACGGGAACGTTGTGTTCTCTGCTTCAGTCTCCCTCGAGAACGTCTTGCTGGACGTGAAGGAGCTGCAGAGGGGCATGGACCTGACCAAGCGGGAGTACACCATGCACGACCACAACACGCTGCTGAAGGACTTCATCCTCAGCAACGAGGGGAGGCTGAAGAAGCTGCAGGACGACGCCAAGATCGCGCAGGTCGGTACCTGCGCCCTCGACCCCACAAAGAAGTGGTGGGGTCCCTCAAGGCCACCTGGGGGAGCTGGCCCCGGACTTTAGGGGAAATTGCCCTCTGTCTGCTGAGGGTAGAATTCTTATGTAGGTCATGGTTATTGGGGAGGGAGTGTCTTTTCGAATATTGTACCTGGAAGGGCTCCTGTTCCTGTTCGTTGACCTCTCTAATTTGGGGGTTCATCCTCTTGGGTAGAGGCCCCCCTTCCTCTCCTCATCCCCTGCCAGGCTTCCTGTATGTGAGTCCTGTGTTCAGGTCAGCCCACACGTGTCAGGCTGTGCTCAGCAAAGCAGTGTCCCCAGTGCATTGGGTTTCTGTAGGCCTCTGGCCTTGAAGTCTCACACACACTGGGCAGGCAGTCTGCACACGTGAGAACCAGCCAAGGAGAGCAGAGCATTGTGGGAACTCTGCAGGTGGACGGTTGATGGCTCCCGTTTGAGGCTGGCCTCCTTGGGTCCCGGAAGACTCAAGCAGACCTGGAGCGTCCTGATGTGGGGCTCCTTACGGAGCAGTGCAGCAGCGGGTGGGGATTTTAAGTTTGAGTGACTTCTAAGATCCCGTTGGTTTTAAGTTCTGCCATGGCCTTAGGAAGCTCTTGAGAGGAATAGAATATTTGTGTGTATGGTGGTGTGTAGGGGTGTGTGTAGGTGTGTGTGTGTGTGTGTGTGTAGGTGTGTAGATGTGTGTGTGTGTAGGTGTGTTGTATAGATGTATATATGTGTAGGTGTGTGGGTAGGTGTGTGGAGATGTGTGTGTAGGTCTGTGTGTAGGTATGTGTGTGGAGGTGTGGAGATGTGTGTGGAGGTGTGTGTGTGTGTGGAGATGTGTGTGTGTGTGTGGAGGTGTGTGTGTGTGTGTGTGTGTGTGTGGAGGTGTGTTGTATAGATGTATATATGTGTAGGTGTGTGGGTAAGTGTGTGGAGATGTGTGTGTAGGTCTGTGTATGTGGAGGTGTGTGTAGGTGTGTAGGTATGTGTGTGGAGGTGTGTGTGTGTGTGTGTGTGTGTGTGTGTGTGTGTGTGTGGAGGTGTGTGGAAGGGGCAGGTTCCCAGAGATGGATCCCGTGGGCCCTGCTCGCTCTGGCTGCCTCTGACCGCAGGGGCGGAAACAGGGGCTGCTGGGGCAGGTGGGAGCACAGGGACAGGGAGCGGCAGGAGCCGCTGTCATCACCCTGCTTCGCGGCAGCTCTTTACCCGAGCGTCACGGTCAGTTGCTAGGACTGATGGAGTGAAGGGGAATTTGCTTTTCCGCAGGACGCCTTTGATGACGTGGTGAAGTATTTTGGAGAAAACCCCAAGACGACGCCGCCCTCTGTCTTCTTCCCTGTGTTTGTCCGGTTTGTGAAGGCCTACAAGGTAACCGGGAGCAGGTGTCCTCCAGGCCTGCCTGGCCTTGTGTCCCAGGCGGGCGCCCTCCAGAGCCACCCTGGTCTCAGCGGCTGTTTGGGCAGCAGTCTCCGGCTGGGGAGGCCGTGCTCCTGGGGCCGCGGCCCATCAGGCTCCCTGTGTCCCCCCCCACCAGCCAGGCTCAGCCTGAAAACACAGCCATGGCTGCTCCTTGGGGCAAGCGAGATGCTCCACCACCGGGGCTGCCTCGTTGACCTTTCACCCTCACAGGCATGTTAAAGGGCTTAGAAACCCCAGGCCTCCCCCAGGGGACTGAGCCCTGGCCTGTGGCCAGGAATCGCCTGCCCGTGGGTCCTGCCCAGGCTTCCGGCGTCCAGACCAGCATTTCTCTGTGCGCTGAGGGGTGGCGCTCGGGAGGGCGGTTGCTCTGCTTCTTCATGTGGACGAACAGTGGCCGGCCCTTTAAATGGGAGGCTCTCTTTGACCGAACCCAGGCTCTAGTCTTGAAAAAGCCTATGACCCAAAGGGGCCTGTGTCAGGAGAATTTGTCCCTGGAGCTAGAGTGACAAGGAGGGCGCTAGGGGGTTGCAGTGCCGCGGGAGACCCTGCATCCCGTGTTCTCCAGGCTGGTCTGCGTCTACATACCCTTGGTAGTGTTGGCGGAGGCAGGAGGGAGTGTGGCTGTGAAGGGAGGGGGGACGTGTCAGGGTTATCTACATTTCTGAGAAATATCCTATTGGAAGTAGTAGGTCACTTCCGCAGCCCCAAGAGGCTGCTGGCCTTGGAGAACCATCCCGGGGCCTTTTACTGAGACTCAAAGATCCCAGTCTGTAGGGATCTCTTCTCAGCGCGGCCTCGTGTCGCGGTGCCATCACGAGCTGTGCAGATGGAGAATGCCCTTGGCAGTGAGGATGCCCCACGCCCAGCACTGAGTCCTTGTGCAGGACGCAGAGCCACGCGCCCTGAGGTCGCTGTCCGCGGCTGCTGACCGGTGCGGGGGCCAGGTGGCTCCCCTCATTGCTGGGGCCACCTTTTTTCCTACAGAAGAAGTTATAAGCCTGAGGTCTAAAGAGAAATATGCTCTTATTAAATCGTGTAATACAAGCTGGGAAGTGGCTCTGGTTGGTCTCAAAGCGTGATGCTTCCGCAGGGACACGTGTAGAGCAGAGGAAAAGGAGAAGCTGCTCTTGGGGGGGGTGGGTGCCACAGGCCGTGCCTGTCGGGGTGCCCCATCCACATCACTTCGCCCTGGGGTCCTGTCAGCTGACGCCTCGGGACACTCATCAGGCAGTGACGTCACAGGATGTGTTACCTGCCCTGGGTGCCGCGTAACAACCTGCCAGCCTGACCCAGACCCGGGTGTTGTGCGTGGGGAGTGGGGTTGTAGGTTGTCATCCCTCCTTTCCCTTCTCAAGTTCCATCAACATGAAACTTAGGAGGCATCAAGCCCTACCTGGTTTGGCTCGGAGGATAGAGCATCGGCCTGCAGACTGAAGGGTCCCGGGTTCGATTCCGTTCAAGGGCACATGCCTGGGTTGCAGGCTCGATCCCCAGTAGGGGGCATGCAAGAGGCAGCCAATCAATGATTCTCTATCATCATGGATGTTTCTATCTCCCTTTCCCTTCCTCTTTGAAATCAATAAAACATATATTTTTTAAAAAAAGAGGCATCAAATGTGAACTTTCCTCTGATACCAGCTGGATTGGAGGAAGTGTGTGTATCTGTGAGCTGACTCTCAGCCTCAGGTAGATGACTTAACCAGTTCCCAGCTGTTAGCAGTCTCGTTAGGGAGGCTGACTTCAGAAGAGAGGATGCGGGAGGGCTGAGTTGACATGAGCCTGTTTTATTTCTTGTCCTAAATCGATCAGACTAGTGACTCTGCCTCCCTTGGGAAGGAGCGAGCTGTGGGCAGAACCTAAGAGTGTCACTGGGTGAGGCCCCTGGAGGAGACGCAAGGAAAGGAGTGGAGGTCTCCCCCTGATAGTGGGATCCGGAAAGGACTCTGAATGGGGTAAATTTGAGCTACTCGATTTTGAAGAGGTGTCATACAGACAGACAGTGAAACCCCAGGCCCGTGTTACGTACAGGCAGCAAATGTAGATCTGACCCTTCTTCCACTTACTCTAATTCCTGGCTCACCGAGGATTCTCTCAGAATGACTTTTTAGACTCTTGACTGCTGTCATTTCCACTGACATGTCCTTGATTCTTTTGACTTGACCCAGCAAGCGGAGGAGGAGAACGAGCTGAGGAAGAAACAGGAACAGGCGCTCATGGAGAAGCTCCTGGAGCAGGAAGCTCTGCTGGAGCAGCAGGACCCAAAGGTGAGGGTGCCCGGCACTGCCCTGGAGGCTCCTGGGGGCGAGCAGGAGAGACCCAAGACCCTTGCCGCTTCCTCCACGGGCCCCGCAACTCGGCAACTGGACATTTGCTCATTCATCACTTTGTTCAGCAAAAACTTGAATGAGGCTAAGAGCATGTTTGCGTAGCATTCCTGTTTACAGAGATCTGGGACGCAGAGCTTAGCTCGTATACACTACAGAGAGGCCATGTCGGATGATTGCCCTGCTTGTGTTCAGGGAAGGCTTCATGGGGATGCCCCTGGTGCTGGCCTTGCTGGCTGCAGGGCTTTGCCAGGAAGAATGGGTTGGGGGGTATTCCGTGAAGGGAAGCATCGTAGGTAAAGATCATAAAAGGCCGCAGGTCAAAGCGTTCTTCATCTTGATCCTCTGCAGCCAAGTTTAAGAAGTCAGTGGTTCTCACCATAGGACCCAACCTTCCCATTGCCGCCGGCTGGACTTTTGTGTTCCTCAGTGAGTTTGTTGTCTTCCCAGAAGCTTTCTGTGTCCCTCGGGTTGAGCACAGTGTGGGCTGGTGCTGCTTGTGTGTGTGGTGGAGGCTCAGACACATTTTGGATTTTCTCCAACCTCCGATGGGTGCTGGTCCCACTAATCTCTGCCTTGCTTCTTTCTTCTCAGTCTCCTTCTCACAAATCAAAGAGGCAGCAGCAAGAATTAATTGCAGAATTAAGAAGGCGGCAAGTTAAAGATAACAGACATGTGTACGAAGGGAAGGATGGTGCCATTGAAGATATTATCACAGGTAAAGGATACTTCCTCGTGGTGGCCCGTGGAGATCCCGCTGGCCTCACCGTGCCGGCCGCTTGCAGATTTCACTGCTGCTTGTCCGGGGTTTCCAGTTCTTCAGTGACTTTAATCAGACCCAGAATTGTGCAGAGACTCTGCTAGTGTTTGAAGTATATTATAGTAGCCTGTGTACTGCCTGTCAGAGAAGCCCACAAGCTCTCTGAAAAATCTCATTTCTCAATATCATTGGGGGGGGGGGGGATCTGATTTCTCAATATCATTGGGAAAAAAAATCTCATTTCTCAATATCATTGGGGGCGGAAATCTGATTTCTCAATATCATTGGAACCCTTTAGATTTCACCAGGGCTCCTTCTCCTAACGGTTTTACATTGTCTACCATTTGTCCCATGCTCCATTTCCTTCCTTCCCTGATTGATAAAGGCTTTGGCAAGACCCATTCGAGGTCTGTACTAACACTAACCACAGTCATTGCAGATGTCTCCAACTTGCTCTGTAACAGCCTCTCCACTCCTTCCAGGGAACTGAAGACAAGCGCGAATCCGGGGCTGGTGCTTCCATTCAGAAGGGCCAGTGGGCTTCCAGCCCAGGGCTGGGGAAGGGCTCCTTATCAGCCAAGAACGGTGCCTGACCCAGCTTGGTTCTTGCTGATTAAGTCGTAGCCTAATGCTTTCTGCTGGAACCAATTCTGTAGACTTTCTGCCTTCCCTCTTAGCAGATCAGACAGCAGTTTGGGCCACTGGCTTGTGGCCATGACTGGAAGTGACGTCCCTTTCATGTCTGTTGCATATGGACCCTATTTATCAGCTTCCAAGATGCTTAAACTTTTTATTGTGAGAAATATTTTAAATATGAAAAAGTGTGGAGAATGTATGATGCATTCTCATGTACCCACCACCCATTTACAATTTTCAGCTCAGGGCCAGCCAGTCTTATTACATGCCTGCTTCTACCTACTCCCCATCCCCAACCTCCGGGATTATTGTGAGGCAATTCCAGGACAAACAGTTCAATGTGGAAATATTTCAGTATGAACCTTTGGAAGATAAGGACTCTTTAATAAAGCAAACATGCCCACAGCACCATTACCAGACACCTCCTCAACTATTCCTTGATATAAAATATCTAGTCATTATTCACATTTCCCCAACTGTCCTAGTTTTTACAAACTCTTAGACTTTTTTAATTCTTCCGCTTTTGACGTCTCATCTCTTGTTAAAGCTTAGTCAGCATTGTAAATAAGGATCCCAAACTGCGGAAACCACAAATTTTTCCACCCACTCAGACCCAAGGCAATACAATGCTAAAACGGAAGTCAACAAGGAGTCCCTTGCCCAGAGTTAAACGCAGAGTAAGTTCTGAGAGGCTGGCGAAGGTGCCGTGTCCGTACACGGTACAGACGTATTCTATGCGTACCTGCCTGCCGGTACCTCAGGTTCCCCCTGCAGGGGTCTGTGGCTGCTCCCAGATAAAGCCCCTGTGGTTTAGCGTCTCTCCTGAGGGAGAAGCTCTGCTCTGAGCAGGACCAGGAACGGACCTCCTCGGGTAAACGCCTCTGGCCCTCAGTGCTGCCGGATTAACTTGTTACGGAGAAGCATCCAGCCTCGCACATTGAGAACTTGGGTTCCTTTTCATTAGTCTGTTCTCCATCTCAGTGACACCTGGCTTGTAAACTGAGCAAAACGTATAGTTTTTATTCGCCTGACCTAATCATTGCTCTGTCGTGGGAGGGGACAGTGCGGAGCTGCCTATGGAGCGTTCCTTACTGTCCTCGGGAGGGTTTCCATTTTGTAACCCACGACCCAGCCCAGAGTGAGTAACTTAGATTTGATGAGCTCACTTGGGTATGTTGCTGCTGTCCCCCTTTCCTCCCCCCCCCCCCCAGGTATGATTAACAAAGCACTAACTGTGTACTAATGCGATAGATCTTGGCTTCTTACTCTCTTCTGTTTGTCCTGTTTGGCTGTCGTTTTCAATGCAGTGCTGAAGACTGTGCCCTTTACTGCTCGCACCGCCAAGCGTGGCTCTCGGTTTTTCTGCGAACCTGTTCTCACTGAGGAATACCATTACTAAACTATTACTCTTTCTCACCTGATGCTCTGAAAAAGGTTGCTACAGATTTTTTTTACCTCCTATCACCCTTGTATGTCTGTCTGTCCGGACCAGCATGGAACTGCCATCTCCACGTGTTGTGTCGTATGTCGTCTTCATGCTGCACGGTTTTGCATTTCAACCGTAACTGCTTTCTCACTGCCACTCTCAATACATCTGAATCCACATTGCTGTGACAGTCTGGGTGTGCGTGAGTTGAATGAATAGAATTGCTTGCAGAAATTTTCAGAAAAGTAGTAAATAGAGCACTTCTTTGAGAATCAGGATTGGGTCCCACTAGGTTGCTTATTAAGATTTTTGGACTAATATATTTGAACAAAAACTAATCGTCATTAATAATAACAGCTACTATACCTAACATTTATTGAGCGCGCACTGTGTTCTAACAGGTTTACAGATATTAAACCAGCCTTTATTTTGTACTCGTTTCCCATGCTTTGATTGTATACAGCAAGCATGTCAAACTCAAAGGCTAACCACAGGCCAAATAAACGAGGCATGCGGCCCGCGAATTTGACATGCTTGGTATATAGGCACTCAGAATGCAGTGTTCTAACTTGCAAAATGATTTTCAGAAGGAACTGTGAACTATGCACAGCTGTAAACTTGGCCTTAAGGGTTTTATGCATGATAGTCATCATCCACAGTGTCATGGGGAACATGGTACGAGCTTAACCCAGAGAGGCCTTTGACCTAGAAGCCTGTATAAGCTGACATAAGGCAATCCATAGCTTTATACCCACCCCTCTTCCCTCTGAGTTCAGTAATCAGCAGTTCCCGTGTTGCAGTAAGGCTGTGAGGCAGGAGGTGAAAACCAAGGCTCAGGAGCCCCTCACTGTCTCATCTTGTTCATGCGACTTCACTATGTTCCATGTCAAACCAGGGCATTTCTTCTGTGATGAGATTATATCTGGGCCTGCTTCTTTGGTCAGGATGGTGGCACCAGAAATAGCAATTACCTATCATCGGGAAATGCCACTGAATTAAAAAAGGAGAAAGATAAAATATTCCCAAGAAGTCAGGGCCTGGGCGTAGATCCCGATGCCTGGATAAGGAACAAACTTCTCTGCAGTGCTCGGCTGACTAGAGAAGAGACTAGGGCTGCACACAGTCTCATCGGCCATTGCTGTGGTTGGACTCCCGTGCCGAGATTGACATGGAACTGCTGCGTGTTTATTTTGTGGCATGAACTCCTCTGTAATCACCTTATGTATGTTCCTCTGTCTCTGAAGATGTGAAAGGATGTGGTGTGTGGTTCCTGCTCTGAGTGTACTTACCCACCAGTGCTTATTAACAAGGCTAGAAACTGTTACCTCCTTGGCTATTGTTGACGGTCAGTGTTGCTGTTGGACTGTCTGTCATTCTGGAGCCAGACTTCAAAGCAGCTTGGATCTGGGTGGTCAGCGACCCGGATGGGAAGAACGCTCATCTTCTCCCGTTTTATCTAACAACCTCTTGTAGTGATGGGCTCCCACCCTCACCCTCTGTTGGCTGACATGCCCGGGAATGTGAAGCACTAAGTTGAATTGCTTTTCATTTTCATCCCATTTTTATTTAACCATCATTTTGTGTTTTTGTTTTTTTTTCTGTTTAGCTTTAAAGAAGAATAATATCACTAAATTTCCAAATGTTCACTCGAGGGTAAGGATTTCTTCTAGCACACCGGTGGTGGAGGATACACAGAGCTGGCAAGCATCACTTTTTACTTAGCTTCCTCCTCTCTCTGTATGCAGATCAGTGGTTTCAATCTATGGCCCAGGGTAATACTGGTGAGAGTCTACCAGGGAGGTCTTTGTACCTCACTATCAATGATGTGAGGCCAGGCCTCTCTGTTGGACTCTTTCTGGCCTGCTTCCGTATTCTCACATATGATGGCTTGGGCAAGGGTTTTTGCTGATTATTGATTGCTTTGGGTGGTAGGCTGTCCCTTATCCCCTTCTTAGCCTTTGAGTTATTCAGTTAACCCCATTTTTATCTGAAGAAATCGAGAGCCAGTCCTGGCCAGAGAACATGATCTGTAGCCTTTGGAGAAAGGATTAGGATCTTTAAAATTAATTGTTCGGAGGGCTCAGGAATCAGAGAGGCAGGTCCCTGCGTGCCCTTAGCCAGAAGTGGGATTCTAGCCTTCCTACCACGCTGTGCCAGGAAGCAGTCTCCGGAGGATCAGGGTATGCAAACCTGTGCTTTGCTTGCACTTAGGAGTAGGGCAGGGTCACAAAGCCCAACAAGCCCAGAGCTGGTGGGCACTGTGCGGAAGGAGGGCACCGTCTTGCACTCGGCTCCAGCTTGTGTTTGCCTGCTGAGAGTTTGGGCCCAGTATTGCCAGATCCTCCAGTTTTCCAACCGAAGTCAGAAACCTTGACTTTTATGTCAATTACCAGTTTAAATATCAGGCAACTGTACTTAAAAACGTAAGTCAAAGTCAAACATCCTATTGTTTTTGTGTTTCCCCTTCTAAAGGTAGAATGTTCCCTAACAGATATAAAAAGTACTAAATTAATAAAAGGGAAATGTATAAGCAAAACAAGGGGAAGAAGTATGAAGCCTGCTTTATTTTTCCCTATATCCTGACTCCATCAAAAGGAAAGCATGCTTCATACTTATTACTCAAATAAAATTCCTCTTGTTCATCCCACGTTATCCCTCCAGAGCAATGCCTGCTTGAACTAACATGCAACGAGGCATTTTTAAAATAATAGGCATTCCATTCCGCTATGCATTTGCAATACAAATTGGAGAATGCAGGAGGGCCCATATAACTTCTCCGCTGTAATGAAAAACCAAAAATATCGGTGGCAGGAAAGAATGTTCAGGAATAGAATATTATTTTGATTGAATGATTACTTTTATTTAGTAGTTAAATTGAGCATTGTTTCTAATTCACAAAATAAAAAACTGACCCCAGCTAATAATAGAATTTAAAAAGTGGAATCTGTGTCTGCGAACTAATTATAGTTCTTCCTTGATTAAAATTGGGATAAGATAGGACAGGACGATCGGTTTTATTAGTTTTGCAGTTTAAATTCATTATTGTTTATATTTAGGTTTCCAGAAAGAAAGAAAGAAACACCTAAGCCATAGCGATTTCCAGTTGAGGAAATGTTTCAAAGTAAGACTTCAGCTAGACCCTCTGGTCAGTGACAAAAGCACTCTTCCTCTATTCCCTAAAAGTACCAGAATCCCACCAGTATTACATCATGTTTTGACTGTAAATACAGAGGGCAAAGTTCATGTGTTTGGCTCAGATATTCTGTGGGTTTGCAGGGCCCATTAGCTGACTCTTCTACACAAGCTGCTTTGATTGGCTGCCAGCTGGCCTTGTCTTGCTTAGAAGCACAATATTAAAGGTTGCAATTCTCTCACTGATGCTCTCCTCTTTACAGATCTTAGAAACCAACCATACAGACGAGCCGATGCGGTGAGGAGAAGTGTCAGGCGGCGCTTTGATGATCAGAACTTGCGTTCTGTTAATGGTGCCGAAATAACCCTGTGAACCTGAGACCTGACTGAATGAATAGAGGGTGTGCGTGAAAGAAGCTGTCCACATGAACTTTATGTGCCGCCATTTAACTGCAGCCTTGAACATAGATGAAGTATTCTAAGGGCTCAGATTTAGCAAACATAGGAATTTTAAAATGATGGGCCCTCCTTTCAACCTTTGTTAACAAGTGCCTAAAAGTGGAAGTACCTGCTCAGATTAATCAAAGCAATAGGATTGGATTTGATTAGGTATCTTTTTACACCAGTATGTTACTCAATTTTTTAATCAAATTGTAAATTTCCTATTACGTGTATTACCTGCCATTGTGAATGTCCCGGGATGGCCCACCCTGGTTTCCTACGAAGTTGTAAATAAGATGGATGCCTCTGTGGTGGGCTCCTTTGTTGAGATGTCTTTTAAGGAATTTTGTGTTTCAGTCATACCCACCAACTTTGTATTTTTAAGGGCTTGCAACATGGAAGGAGGAGGGAAAAGTCTCATGATAAACTTGTGTCCAAAACCAAGCCCTAGCAAAGTTCACATAGATTGCAATTCCAGTAGCTCAGGAGGATACTCAGCGGTCTCCTTTCACAGTCTACTACCCCGTGCTAGTGTACCGTGCCCTCCCTGGGAGAGTCCCCGTATGAATGCAAGGATATGATGGCATACAAATGTTGCACAGTACTGTGTTCTTCAGCTAGGGGCAGCTTTGAAAAGATAATGCAATATATTTATTAATTAGCACTAAAATTAACATCTCAGTAATCAGTATTAGGATTTCTGAGGATCATTATGGGTCAAAACTGAGAAGAGAAATCAGTGCCTTGCTAGCCAGGAATAAGTTCACTAGTTCAATCAACAGTGCTCAAGATTACTTCTGCTGGCGGAGAAGTATTAGTCACCCAGCCTTACTCTCCTCTGACAATCGGTTGGCTCCCCCGCCCCCCTGCCCTTCTTCCTTTTGTAAGTCGGAGAAGATATATTTGGCATCATATATCAAAGCGAAAAACTTTGTATTTCCCAGATTACCTTATGAGGAATTGAATATTCATGTTGGGATAAAGCTTAAATGATATATAATGGGACTAAATGGCCAACTAAGCCACTGTTACTTTTCCTTCCTCTGGCAGGGCACTCGATCCATTCCAAAGTCAAAAACTGGACTGAAGCTAATTTGTACTTTTCATAATATACATTCTGCTTCTGGCTTACCTTCTTGGTACATCACATCAGTATATTAATTGTAAAGTTTATTGTATAGTATTTAACCACTGAATTTCTTATTTTATGTTGTGCTTATGTGAACTCCTTGGTGAAGGTCCAATTTTCCTTGGATAATGTGTAGTTATATATGATCTCTTTTTAAATGTACAGATATTTTGCTATAAAATTGGTGCAGTTTTTTATGGTTTTTACACTTAATTCCCACCTAAGCCTCTGGGTAATATTGTAAATATTGTTTAAAAATGCATCGGCCTATGCTATACAATCTGAATGTTATTTTAACTTATAGTTTTTTTAATATATATATTTAACTACAAGGACAGTTTAGAGATCAGTTATCACATTTCACTTTAGCATACCTATTTACAGAAAGATTGCTTTTAAACAGCCACCTGCCAGCAAATTTTCATAAATGTGTACTTTAAAAAGAACATGCCAAGATTTTTTCTGTTGACTCAACATTAATTTTGACAATACCATGAGACACACAATACAAATTGGTCCTTTACCACAAGCAGCTGTTTCCCAAAGCTCAATGCTGACGAGCATATTAAACTCACTACTATTTATTAATCTCCAAGTAGACAATAATGTTGGCATGTTCTTTTCTGTTTGTCTATTAATAGGCCTGCTTCTTAGCAATATTAGAAATGTTTTATAAAAGCAGTTCATGTTACTTTTCTGGTCTTTTCATGGCATATGAGCAAATAAAACTATTTACACCACTATCCTGTAACATGTTGTCGTCTTTCAATGGTATACTTTAGGGGTTTTGCCAGTTATCTTCTAGAAAAGATATGTCTTGGTGCTTAAACTCAGAATCTAACTGTATTCGGTAAATTTAGTAAAATCCCTTCCTGTACACTCTTGAGCACTTGCTGTATGAGACAAAGTAACCACTTAGATTTGGGTAGTGAGGGATACAGTTCCCAAATCATACTTATTCTTTCCAGTTATCATTGTAAAGTTTAATTTATTGTTTTTAGCATATTCTTCTTAGGGAAGCAAGGAAATGTAGTATTTCAGGAAACTGTGTAAGTGGCTTGAAAATACTTCAGAGGGCTGTAAATTAATCACTTAAGAAACTTGTTATATTAAGTCTTTGTTCCCAACTCAGTGCCCTTTCTCTTGTACCAATATAGCTGAAACCTCACTTTAAAAAGCAGAGGGGTTTTGTTTGTTTTGTTGCAGGGCAAAGTGCTTCATGGTAAAAGAAATAAAGTCAGTATTGCACAAATTCAGGTCTTCAAACCCAAACTTCAGCAGTAAGTTCAAATGAGGCCAGATAGGGCTAGGTTTAAGGGCACTGATGCACCAGTAGCATCCATTTTGTAAGATGTTTACCAATGACCCAGAACTAAATCCCCTAGTTCCCACTCTCAAATCGCTAAACTCTAAGTCCTAATCCATTAAATTCACTGCAGTGAGTGTTCAGTGACCCTGCTGACTCAGCAGTGCTCTGCAAAGGGGGGTGACATCCACCATGGGATCTGCTGGGTCAGCACAGAATTTTACAGTACTACCTACTTGGGTACTGAAAATTATGCTTTTATAATATTGGATTTATAATTCACACATGTATTGATTTTAATATTTGATAACTCTTCTTAGCCTTATACTTTCCTAAATTATATCAGAAATGCCTGCAAAGATGAATCTACTATCATCCCAGTTCATAAAAAAGGATTAATATATTAGTTTCCCATTTCTTTTAAACCTAATACCCCATCTATTTCCAAGAAAAAATTTGAAGCAAAAACAAATGCATTATGAAATATTAATATACTTTTTTTGATCTTTTTACAGAGAAAAGCAGGTATTACACCGAGAAAACAGAATGTGGGCATCTAGCATCTCACAGCACAGAACTGCTGCATGAGGGGTGCTTAAAGGTAAAAGTTGACACAAAAACAACTTATTTAGTAAAAGATGTCATTGTTTTCTAATTATATTTATTTACAAAAGGTCTAATTTTATATAACTGAAATTCTTTACATCAGAACAATATAGAAATAGAAAACCTGATAATTACAAACACAGAACATAGAAACCTTGTTCCCCTATTACTCACCTTTCAGAACAAGTCTTCGGTTTAGTTGTAGAGGTAAGCAAAAGACCAATACCTACCAAAAAGTTTGCAGGCATAACCAAAGGAAAAGATGTTTATAAATAGCACATTTAGATACCCCAAGGAACAGCATAAAAGGGCATCAAGAAATGGCTTAATTTTAAAAAAATAAAAAGAAGTGGCTTAGTCTGAATCTGATCTGGTTAGGCAGTCATTCTGTTTCATAGTCTATCATCGAAAATGGGTGGGGGGAGTTTAGCTAGCTGCCCTGAAATGCAAACATCAACCTTACACCTAGTGTAAATGCAATTAAATTAAGTCAGTTATCAATCACTAACAATGAGATGTCTTTGAACTAGATCCTGCTGAGTCACAAAAGCAGTTTTTATATAGCAAGTTTAAAAAGATTGCAGTTACGGAATTTAGGTCAGGTAGATAAGTGAAATAAAATGGAGGGCTGGGGGAATGTGAGAGTAACAGGAGCAAAATCTTCTCACTTCCCACCTCACCATTAAGTCAGCTCCAATAACACTGAATACCTGTCATGTCACCATTATTCACTCCTTTGTCAAAAATAGCCTGAAAATATTAGTTCTCAGCTTGTAATTTAAATAGGAAGTTTGCTATTGTATCTCTTAGGGTTTTAAAGACCAAGTGATCTAGCTAAATGTTAATTCTTCAAATAAATTATACTTTTGAACTTCTATTATATAACATTAACTTATGAATAATTACAAAGGCAAGTTTCAAATCATTACAGGGGAAGATTTCCTTACTCAAAAATCACATGGAAGCTCTATGTTCTGACAAGCTTTTGAACTTTTCTGAAGTAATGGTTAAGGTACAGTCACTAAAACTCATGTTCAGTACACTTCAGTTATGTATGTGGCTTTAGTCATGGGTTAGTGTGGTTTATTGCAAAGATGCTTTTTCAAGCCCTTTAATACAGATGGTAGGTACCATGTATGCTGGCTGAGTACATCTGTCAACTAATATGTTACATTCATTCAATAGATGCCTACTATGTGCCAGGCACTGTGCTAATCAACAGAATACAGCAGTGAATGAAACTTAAATAGGAACTAGACCACCCCTGAAGTCAAAACAATTGAAAACTTAGAGCAAGGTAAGCATTAATAAGGGAAGTAAGAATTACTAGACTGGTATTCAAAACCATAGAATGAGATAAGCCTATTATTACAAGCCTATTCCAACAGTTCCATGAAAATCATTCATGATGTTACTTTGTTTCCTTTATGTGAAATCAATGCAGTTTTACCTAGAGAATGTAAAAGACTTAAAATTCTACATCATACTGAGAGAGATACATCCCTAAGGGAAAAGTCTCAAATTTAAGATATTAGGAATTAATGTGCTTTGCCTCATTTTGCTTTTAGAAATGTTTTAGTTATTTACTTTTATAAATCACACAATATACTTAAATATCCTATAAACTTTAAAAACAGCATTCATTACTCTTCTCTGGGTACTATTTGATAAGAAACCATTCTCCTAAATAACATCTAGGTTAAAAAAAAAAATCTTCACATAAAAGGGGCTCCCTCTTTTTTGATGCAAAAATTAAAGTGGCTACCTAGTCAACACTCAATTGACCATACCAGAAGCATCTAAGGCTAATGCTTCTTACAAAGCCCTTTGGTAACCGGATGAAAACTGGACCTTCTTTCCAGAAAAAATGTACACAAATGTTTCAGGAGATTTTAGTCTCTTCGCTATGAATTAAGACGGCCTTACTCTATCTAGGCCAGAGGGGAGAAAGTCCGGCCCGAAGGCCTCATAAGGCCTATAAAATCATTCGGTCTGGCCCTGCCAAGGCATTAGGGGTGAGCTAATTAAATGTTTGGCCAAATACAGCAGGCTAATTTTTAAGTTGATAATTTTGTATGGACCTCAAATGATGTTATATTCAAATGTCCTTGGCAGGAAAAAGGTTCCCCACCCATGATCTAGGCCAATGGTCAGCAAACTCATTAGTCAGCAGAGCCAAATATCAACAGTACGATTGAAATTTCTTTAGAGAGCCAAATTTTTTTAACCTTAAACTATATAGGTAGGTACATTGTTATTAATTAGGGTACTCCTAAGGCTTAGGAAGAGCCACACTCAAGGGGCCAAAGAGCCGCATGTGGCTTGCAAGCCGCAGTTTGCCGACCACGGATGTAGGCCAATCCTTTTCATTTTATAGTATTATGAGGTCCAATTAGCAAAGTTATAACATTTTGATCATTTTCAGGTTTACTGGGAGGGATAAAAAGTATTTTTATTGTTGAAAAACATGAATAACCTATATGCTGAAGCTACTTTTGGGTAATAAAAAAACATCATCACTATTCTTAAAAAAAAAATGTGGGATTTTTTTTATTTGAAAATAATTTAAAAACGCTTGGGAAAAGTACAATGAATTCTTCATCCTTGATTGATTCAATTAACTTTTCACATAAATTCAATTTTCCCACATAGGGATTATAGACTGGGAGAAAATAAAAACATCAAATATTTGAAGTTCCTATTTTGACTATAAGTATATTAAATGTATTAGTGAATTTAATCCAATAATTCATTAATATTAATTATGAGGGAAGATGAACCCTCAACATTTGCCTTACTGAGAATTAAAAGTATACATTCCCCTTATTTGAAAAGAAAAATGCTTTCCTGCTTGAACACATTTGTTCAAACCCTACTCAAACTGTTTCAACATCAAGTCTAATTGCAAGACATTTCAGCTTTTACAACCTCTATCTTTATTCTAACTGGTTAAAAACATTCACAGAACTCTAGCTTTAACAAAATCTTCCCATCATCTGTGCTTTCAGACTGGACAATATCTTTCTAGCAACTAAATCTCTTTTGATGGGATAATCAAAGGGTAGTAGACAAGGATTTTACTCACTTTAATAGCATCTTTTTAACGAGGATGTTGTATTTAGAGATGTAATTTGTTCACTAGTTTTGTTTTTAGGTTAAATAATTTTCATGGGTGAACTATAGGGAAACGTGAATTTGTATTGTCTTATAGGGATTTGAGGTTGTGACAGACAGAAGTGCAGAAATTTATTTTGAGGACATGCTAAAACACATCAATAGCTTTTTATTTAAATAGAAAAATCAAAACTTTAAAGTTGTACTTAAAAATCATTCATAGAATTAAAACATTTTACAGATTCTAAATTCTCTTGTGAAACATCACTAGTATTTCTGCCAATATCATATGCTTATATTAAAGATCCTACCACTTCCTGTCAAGTGTTAGACATGATGTCAAGTGTTAGGCATGATTGGCAATATTAACTATCATTAAAATGGGACCTCTGAAAATTAAGTCTAGGTGAATCCCTGATTAATAAGTAAGTTATGTTTTGGTTCTAATATGCAAAAGGAGACTCAAGCAAGCAACTTGGTTACTTCCCATTTTCTAAAAATAATGGTCCTCATTTTCTACAAAGTCATGTCATATTTCACAGCAGAAAAATGTCTTGGCAGGGAGAAGTTTAGAAACAACACCTTCTTCCCCTTATTTTTGAAGCATTCAACAGTGAACAGATTTAACTAAAATAGGGAGCAGAGATGGGAGTCATCCTGATTAGTCCCATTTTTCAAATTCACTAGGATGATGAAGAAAAAAAATAAAATGAACCTTTTGTTCTTTTAAATCCCAACATGAAATAGGATCGACTGGCCCTAATACCAAAGACTATATGCTAAAATTTACTATTAAAAAAAAAAAATAAAAATCCTGCACTGAAGAAATATAGTATAAATTACATTACCAACCCTGGAAAGTTAGCAGGTATTCTAACTTTTAAAATATATATTTTTATTGATTTCAGAGAGGGAGAGACAGAAACATCAATGATGAGAATCATTGATCGGCTGCCTCCTGCATGCCCCCCACTGGGGAACGAGCCCAAAACCCAGGCATATGCCCTTGACTGGAATCGAACCCAGGACCCTTCAGTCCGCAGGCCAACACTCAATCCACTGAGCCAAACCAGCCAGGCAAAGTATTCTAACTTTAAACCACTGCCTCTCTAAAGTATCCCATAGCAATTTGTAGATCAAAAACAAATATAGGGGCCTCAAATGCACTGATTCTAATTTAAAAAGAAAGTGACTTAGCTGTGTGGGCAAGAGGAAGCAAAAATTTCAGGGATTTAGTTTATCTTTAAATTATCATACAATTTTTTTTAGAGCTGAACAGTTTACATAGAAATAAATACTAGTACACGCTAGAAGAGAAGGTTTAATAATTGATAAAAATGTACAAAAATATTCAAATCAGAAATGCTTTAGAATGTGTATCATGAAGTCAATACTTCTCAGTGAGTAGGGAAGGTAAAAGACTTCCTCAATGAAAAAAGCAAGAGAAAGGTCCGATAAAAAAAAAAAAAAAAGACAACTGTTAAAATGTTTAAGTCAACATTGATTTTTGTTTTAGACAAGGATATTGCATCTATCACTTAAAGTTGGTGGCACATTCTTTAGTAGGTCCTTAAGGCAATATATTTAAACTAATTTACAATTTGATTTAATGTTAATTTTTAAAACATCACCTCAAAATAATGCCCTCACAATAGCCTTTTTTAAATGTATTCAGATGTTGCATAAAAAATAATGGTGGCTTTATTATAGCAGTGCTCACTAGCACCACTATAGTTAAGGGTCTACCAGGTTTCCATTAAGAACACCTATTTGTGGGTTCACCATAAAAGATCAGATTAGTTTCAACCAGTTGGGTAGTACACAAAAAAGCAATTTTATCAGTTGCTGGTGCTTTTTTTGTACGACTAAGTATCAAAAAAGTTTCCTATCTTCAAAATTCAACTTCCATAAAGAAAATGCTATCACCTCAATGACTTAGACTTCAGAAGAAAGTAGAGACATCTGCAGTTATTGGTAAATTGCCACCTTTAATCCACCCTGCAGTGCCCTATGAAAGGGTCACAGGAAAACAGTTATGACCGTATGAAAATATGATTCTTAATACAGAATCAAAAGTTATTTTCAATTTCCTCTGCTTTTATAAAGTCCACAATAACAATACTTAAATGCACTTTTTTTTTCTGTGATATAATTAAAACCCAGTGTTATTTCAACTGAACTTAAAATAGAGTCCCTGGTCTGAATTAGACTTTAAATCATACTGTAAACATATATTTGGTATAATTTATTGATCATCATCCAGTTGCTCCAAAAGGGTCCTTCTGCGCTTTTCCAATTCTCCTTCACTCAGTTCACTGCCAGAAGTATCCCAATTACCCTGAAAAGACATTGAATACAATTATATTTCATGGTAGTACTCAAAAGGTAAGGTTAAGTAGTAATGAACTTTTGAAAAAGGAATTCAAAATGAATTCTCTTTCACAGAAACAGATACATCACATAGTTTAAAGACTTACTACCTCTTTCCCAAGAGCCTATCAATGGGTTGCTAACTAAGCATATATATGCCTTGGTTATATTAGGAGAGGTCCTTAACTTAGAACGAGATTTTTACATGTTGTTTTTACTTAATATATAAGTAATATATAAATAATATTAATATACAACATTAATATACAAGTCGGGAACAATGGTACATACATTTCTTTTCCTTCCTCTTACATAACTGATTATGAGACCATCCCATTTCCATTTAATGGAAGTCAGGGATTCATTTCCTAGGCACTATATTCCTTGCTAACTTTGCACATTCTAAGTTGCCCTAAGAGTGTTTTATATTACAAAAAAATATGCTTCACGCAAACATTCATGAGCAGCACAAGACTTAAGCTGAAGAAAATATTCAAAAAATAATAATGCATTTGTGAGAAATAATCTTTGAAAAGTGGATAGTTCACCTGTCTTCTTTCCCTTCAGCGATTTCGTTTAACCTACTGAAGGTTAAGGAAGAATAAATTGTTAAAAGCTGCTAATAGGTCTAGAGGAAACATTCATTTTTCACCAAGGATGTGCATCAGATTCACCAGTGCAGCTTTTTAAAAAGCAAAGCAAAAAAAACCCTCCACCCTATATAGCAAATTAATCAGAATATCCAGAGGGAGAGCCAGGCTTGTCTACAAAGCTGAAACTCTCCACTGGTAAATCTGAAGCATTACCCTTGCTAAGCCCCTAGAATTTGTGGGAGGAATGGAAAGGATGAGAAGGTTTGTGTTATTGTGCTGTCATTCATATGTGCGCACACACATGCATGGGAAAATAAGGATTCATTTGATATTAAAATATCAATTTTGGCTTGTAGTCCTTTCCTATCCATTTGCCTTCACACCTCTTTCTCAATGATTTCCAAAGGTTACTGGAATGCTACCTTTTGAAACCAGATTTACAAACGATGACAACTGAATATTTGGAGGAAGAACACTTAATTTGTGTCTCTTTATATTCCTTAAAAAATCAGGTATAAAATGTCCAGTGGCACTTCTTAGAATGCAAAGAGCAGAAGACCATATCCTCCTTTATTTTTTTACTTAAGTTCTCTTTTATTATTATTTTAAATCCTCACCCAAGAATATGCTAAGAAAAACAGATCAGGTGTCTTCTAAATGTGCCCTGGGGATCGAATCCAGAACCCAGATTGTGCCCAGATCAGGATTCAAACCAGCAACCTTTAGGTGCACAGGACAACACTCAACCAACCGAGTCACTCTGGCCGGGCTTTATCTTCCTTTCTCAGTGAGTTAACAGAGCATTACATAGCCTTTATTTATTTATTTTTTTTAAGGAATGTAAAACTTATGACCACATACACTAGAAAACTATTCTTGTGTGAAAGTTAACTGAACTTTCATTGTTTTCTTTAAACGCCCTTATAGTTTAACCATTGTCTCCATTTCTGCATTTTGAAAATACAGGTATGAAATAATTCTAAGTACTTACAGAAGAATCCTTTCCAGTCTTTTTCTTAGGTGATTTGTGTTTTGATTCTGATCTTTGTCTAGTTCTGTCTTTTTCACTTTCCCGGTCTTTTTCTTTCTTATCCTTCTCTCGCTCAGCATCTGACTCTGGAGAGTCCTGTGTAAAAATCCACGTGTAACAGAGTATGTGTGCCCAGAGTGGTGAAATTTAAGTTGTTAAGCTCAAGGATTAAAGATAAGGATGAAGGCATACCTGATTGGAGTATATATTATGAAAATGTGTGCAGATTTTACATTTTACACAAACCCAATACAACATTACTTATTTAGTTATGTAAGATGCTGTGATTAGCTCAATCACATATTAGGTTGATAGCTTGCCTAAACAAGCAGTCCTTCATTAGATATGCACAAATTCAAGTGAGCAGCATGAAAACAATCTCATTCAACAGGTCTCTGGTAACACCCAGGCCCTAATATTTTTAAAAAGCCTCCTAGGTTTACCTAAGATTAAATGGTTCTCAACAACAGCTGTAATACGTACACAGACCACAAAGACATGTCCTTCTCTAAGATTACTTTAAAAAATCAGATTGGGAATCTTAACATTGGTGTGTATGTTTTATTTTTCTTCAAAGCTCACCAAAAGATCTTAATGGAAGATGAAGATCAACTTTAAAACTCTTGAACTTAGGTGCCCACCTAAACTGTGTTGGTCTGCACAGGACTATACAGAAAAAGGCTCTACTGCCACTGAGGAAATTAAGGGTAAAAGCCTAATGTAAAAATGAAAAGCTTGCTTACAGATTTATGTCTCCTCTTCTTGCTTTTCTTCTTATGTTTTTTAGACTTCTTGTAACTTCTCTCTAAGCAACATGTAAAGGAAAAGGTGTCAGGATTTGACCACATCCAAGTGTCAATGATTTTAATCAAGTTAAAAGATATGCCTACCAGACTCTGCACTAGAAGAATGTTCTGAAGCAGAACGAGACTCTGATCGCTGTCTTTTTTTCTTTGTATGGCTGTCGTCGTCATCTGAATCTGACCCCTACACAATACAAATAATTTTATTCATAATGATGCTAAACAAATGTTTCAATACACTTATGATGCCATCTAATAAACTTCCTTACCGATCGAGAGCGGGAACGTTTCCTGTGGTGTTTTTTAGATTTTTTAGAATGTTTTTTGTTCTTTGAATGATGATGTTGACATTCATGCTACAGGGGTAAAAGAGAAATATTCAAAAGTTTACATTTACTTTGGACAGTACATCATAAAGAATTTTTAAAAGCTATTCGTTATAATTTGAATTATAATTAACCATCATGTAGATATCTAAACACAATAGTGTTAAAAAATATTAATAGTTTTTGTAGGAATCGTAGTGTATGGGTTAGTAGGGATAACTGTACACTCCAGAAAGGTATAATTTTCAGAACAGTTACACTACTTTGTTAAGACAATTAAATATACATTTGAAAATCTTGCTTAAATGTTGATTCTGATGCAGGATTTCTACTAATGGGGTCTGAGGTTCTGCATTTCACAAAAGCTCCCAGGTTAATAGAGATAATGCTAGTCTGAAACACACTATGAGTAGAAAAGATCTAGAGGCAGCTGGGAAACAACCGAGTACATGTGGGTATGTTAACAGAGCTAACTCTTGTCAACATTGATAGACATCAAGAACATTAAATACAATGAACCAGTCAACGTAAGTGACTTGCTATGTCTGAGGACTATACAACATTATAATGAATATGTGTCAGCTTTTAGCTTGTTGTAAAGTATCAGTCTGTCTCTATAACTGGCAGCATAGCATGTCTGTTAAAAGTATTGACTCTGAAGTCAAACAGCCTGTGTTGGAATCCCTGCAAATTACTTTATTTCTCCTTGCCTCATTTTAATCCTCACACTATGAAACTATAGGTGAGTAAATTAATATATTTAGTATTTGTCTAACAATTAGAACAGCAATGGCCCATATAGGCATCAAATTATTATTTAATAATTGGTCAATTTAGCATATTTACTACATACAAGTACCTATCTGAAATACCCTTATTCAGCTAACAGAGTAATTTTATCAATACCCATTCTAACAAAACTTTTATCACTATATTTAAAACCTCTCCCTGAGTTTTTAAGACATCTAATAATATAGTATAATATTTGAAATATATGCTTGGATCTTATAAAACAGATAGAAAATAGTTTTTAAGTTTTCTTTGGGTTTACTAGTCAATTGATATGGCTGCTAAATTTTTGAAACACTGTAAAAATATGAAACAAATAGTCTCCACAAACAAATCTTTACATTCCCATGCAAGCTATTTGTTTCACTTAAAAGCTACATTTGCATAACAATGGTATAATTTAAGAAACATACTTCTCATTCTGAATTCCTTAACTTTTATTTATAATTTTATATAGTTTGTATTTCAGCCAGTTATGAAAATATTAAAATTACCTCAAGCACATGCATAAAATCTTTAAATATTCGTTTTCTTTCAGACTCTAGAGTTATGTCCTCAAATGCCGGCTCTTTTACAAATCTCTCCCGGATCTGAAAAATTTGCATATACAAATATATTAATACCAAGAAAATAATACCAATATGACTAAAAGGAAACAATAGAAGTGAAAACTGTGACAGCCCAGTCCCCTCCAAGTCTATTAAATTTTTTCCTTTACTCTAAAATCTATACCATTTTAACCAAATATTCCTAACTGTAGTCACAGCTGACTTTATCCTTTTAACCTAGCCTCAATATATGTAATATATTCTACAAATAACTTCAGCTTATTTTTGTGGCTACAAAATGAAAGGAACTAAAAAGGTATTCTTATCTTCAATTGTAAAGGAAACAGTTCATTAGGAAAAATTTACAAATATACATACATCTTCCCAGACAGCATCCAATTCTATAGGGGGAGCAGCTTGTTTCAACATACTCTTAAATGCAGATTCTTTTCGTTTCATCTTTCGAGCCTCCTCTTTTTCTCTTTCACGTTCACGGGCTTCTGCCTTTTCTAGTAACTTTTAGAAAATCATTTAATCAGTTACCATGGTACAATAATTTTTGTTAATTGAAATAACCCATTATTCTTAACTTAAGTATTCTCCCATCATTTATAAGGCAAGGTGCAATTTATAATACCGGTAATTTGAGCAAAGAAAAATTAACATCAGCTCATCACCTAAACACATTATTTTCTTTTACCTTACCCTGAAAGGCTAACTACTTTATGAAACCCTACTCATATTCTATTCTAGGAGCCTACAACTGAAGTACTTTTCCCCTAAATACATTAAAAACTGTACTATTAAACTTGTTTATAAAAGACTGTAACTTACACTATTAAAAGCCAATTTAATATTTCCGGCATCTAATGTGGTTGATCTTTTAGTTGAACTGATTATTGCCACAAAATCTTCAAAAGTAGTATTTACTTCAACTACAAATCCTTTATCCTAAAAAACAGAAATCTTGTTAATAAAATGTATAAAAGGAACAGAGAATAATTTTTTATACCAGTCTATATAAGTATACTATTTACCTTTAGAATATCTTTTATTATCTTCTTTTCATCATGATAACGTGCTTTAAGATCCTCAACATAAAACTTGAAAAGGTCAAGTGCAGTTGATCCTAATGAAAAAACTAAAGAAGTCAAAAGCTAGCTCTAACCAAAGAGCTGCAATTATTATTATTTTTTTTTATAAAACAAAATAAAATGCCCCCTCCCTCATTTTCCAACACAACCCACCTTCCCCTCTGGCCCATTCTAACTACTATCAAAACCAAGTTAGGAAAGAAAAGAATCTCACCAGGCTGACCAAGCATGTTAGTGAATCTAATGTCAGAACTAATTGTTGGATACAATTCCATCCAAGATGACATAGAATGTAGTTGTCCGTGTTCATGCAATTCATCTAAAAATATCTGGGGGAAAATTTTTTAGACCATTAACAACAACAAAAACCCCCATTCTATTGAAATCATCTCCAAAGACATTAGAAAAATAATATATAACATGAACACACATGTTAAAAACACATCAATACTTAAACTCTTTGACCAATGTTTAGGTGCAAAGAATACTTGGCTCCTTGATGAAAGTAGCAGCATTTAGGCAAAAGTATTTTGTACTTCTGAGAAAAGGATCTCTGAAAAGCTACATTATCTTTCTAGGCTTCACTTTACTGTCCTGTAAGATGGAACATCATTTCCAGTTAAAAAAATATGTAATATAAAGATAAAAGTTAACTCAATATATTAGATATTATCTATTTCAAATGATGGTGCTAAAGTATATGTATGCATGTTTCCTATAAAATAATACTTTTTGTTTTAAGACATAGTGACTGATATATTCTGGGTGTTTTTTTTTTGTTTTGTTTTGTTTTAATTTTCTTAGCAAATGTGGACTTAGGAGGAGGACATATAATTTTACCAAAGTAATACAGAGTATTTTTGGGAACTAGGACTCAAAACCTATTTCCTTCTATGTTACTACCTTAATTCTAAATCTTTATATGTTCATCCCAATTTCTCTTCTTTCTCCTTTTATACTACTTGCTGACTTTCAAGGCAACATATTAGGACTTCAACAATTTCCACATTTCCTGCTTCCCTAAATCTCTAGGGGGTTTAATCCTATAAATAAATGTTCCTAAAGAACGATGACCCAAAATTCTGCTCCTAAAATTCCAAACATAGTGTTCAATATAGCAGCCACTAGTCAAATGTAGCTTCGAAGTTCATGAAATGTGGCTGAACTGAGTTGTGCAATCAGTGTATAATATACAATGACTTTGAAGACTCAGTTCCAAAAGAATATAACAAAATTATAATATTGGGTGAAATAAAAGCTTACTAAAATAATTAAAAAATAAAATTTAAAATCACATGTAATATACAAATTTTTATTGGACAGCATTGTCCTGAATAACACCAGAGAGCTATAACTCCACTTCTCTTCATAGGAGAATAAGCATGTCCATACAGTCTTATATTTCCAACATTCGTTTCTCAAACTTAGTATCTATCCTTTTTACCTATCCTTTCTTCAATATAAATGGAATCCTTATCTTAACCCAACCCTCTTGTGTGATCACTAAGTTCCTCACTTGCTCCCTCTTTTGCATTCCTAAGATAGCTCGAAACCACCTTCAACGATGCTCTCTAGAATCTTAGAATCTGCTTCACTCCATCATACCTGCTTTGTTAGTATTACTGTTTCACTTCCAGATTGCTAAGATCTGATGGTCATAGAATTTTGATATTGAATCCATTTCAATAGTGAATCCCTAACCTGAGTGAAAATTACAATCACCTGAGAATTAAAAAAAAAAAAGGATTAAAAGCCAGATATTTGTAATTTTACTTCTTAAAGATCACTCGATGACTCTGATTTGAATTCAGGTTTAAAAACTATTAGGCTAAAAGTGTATGGCTCTATTCCTTTTATTTACTAACCCTGTCTTGGATGGTAGGCAGGAGCTTGGTCTTTACATTATAGAAAGCAAGTGCATTAAAGATGGCTGAGTCTGATACTTCTTCCCTTAGAAGGGAGGTTCCCAACATAGGCACTCACTGCCTCAGAGCCAGGTGAATATTTCCCCTTATCTCCTTCCTTCTTTTTGTCTTCTTATATATTGCTCATAATAAAACTATTCATATATATGCTTGAATTCCATACTTTCTAAGATTTTGTTTGAGAAATACCTCTATCATTCAATTCTTTCTTCATTCTCTCTTGACTGATTTCTCTTGCTCAAAGCCATTCTCTTAACCCTGAGCTTACTAAAACTCACCATATCATCAAAATATCTGCAAGAATGGTCCAATTTTGCCTCATTTACCTTTAAGGTATTTGGAAACCCTTTAACTTTCCCTACCATGCTGACAGTCACTAAACACCTTAAATTGTACACCTAATGGTATTCTTTCAGTTTTATTTCATACCAGGTCCCTCAGCCTGGCCTGCGGATCGGGCCGAAACCGGCTCTCCGACACCCGCCAAGGGGTCCCGGATTGCGAGAGGGCGCAGGTCAGGCTGAGGGACCCCACTGGTGCACGATCGGGGCCGGGGAGGGACTCGCAGGTTGGCCAGCCAGGGAGGGACCACGGGAGGGCTCCAGGGCGTGTCTGGCCTATCTCGCTCAGTCCCAATTGGCAGGACCCCAGCAGCAAGCTAACCTACCAGTCAGAGCGTCTCCACCCTGGTGGTCAATGCACGTCATAGTGACTGGTCGACTGTTTGCCCCTTGGTGGTCAGTGAACGTCATAGCGAGTTACCTTTGCACAGTGGTCGGCAAACTGAGGCCCCCTGAGTGTGGCTCTTCCACAAAATACCACATGCAGGTGCGCATGTACAGTGCGATTGAAACTTCATGGCCACACTCAAGGGGCCAAAGAGGCGCGTGTGGCTCGCGAGCTGCAGTTTGCCAACCACTGCCTTAGCATATCATTAGCATATTATCATTTGATTGGTTGAACGGCTGACTGGACACTTAGCATATTAGGCTTTTATTATATAGGATTCTTAACATTTGCTACTTTTGGTGGGTTCCTTTACTCCAGCGGTTCCTCAAAGAATCAGTTAAAAGACTGGTAAAAACCACAGATTGTTGAGCCCCACCCCCAGAATTTGATTCAATAGGTGTGGTGTGGAGTTTGAGAATCTGCATTTCTGTAATGTCCCAGGTGACTGATGCTTTCATCTGAGTACCAAGCTTTGAGGACCACTGCTCTATCTTAAAAACTTCACCTTAGCTTCTGAGATACTACACATTCCCCTGGTTCTCTTTAAAGCTCCTGATTATTCCTTTTCATTCTTGATATAAATTCAAATACCAGTTTTATGACTTATAAAAGGCAGAGATTCCTTGTCATAAATGTCACAAATATTTATTATTACCTGACTGGCCAATGAGTACTCAGTAAAATGACAGCCATCATTATAATCATTATTATTGAAAACTAGAGGCCCGATGCACGAATTCGTGCACAGGTGGGGTCCCTCTGGGTGGCCTGCAGGGATTGGGCCGAAACCCACAGACCAATGCAGCCTGCATGTGCCTGCCGTGGGCTTGCGCCCAATCAGTCCCGATCGGGAGAGGCTTGTGCTGCTGCAGCAGTGGTCGCCAGCCATGAGCCCTGTGTCTGGCACCCTCCCAAGGGGAGTGGCCTGTGGGATCAGACTGAAACCGGCTCTCCGACATCCCCCAAGGGGTCCCAGATTGCGAGAGGGCACAGGCCAGGCCGAGGGACCCCACTGGTGCACGACTGGGCTGGGGAGGGACCAGAAGAGGGCTCCAGGGTGTGTCCAGCCCATCTCACTCAGTGCCCAGCAGCAAGCTAACCTACTGGACTGTGAATCTTCCCCCTGGTGGTAGTGCATGTCATAGCGAGCAGTTGAGCAGCCTTAGCATATCATTAGCATATTATGCTTTGATTGGTTGTTCTGCCATTTGGTCTATTTGCATATTACCCTTTTATTATATAGGATGTTCTTTCCATTCATGATTTTTTTAAATGTCAACTTTCTAATTTATTTTACTAATGTTCTAAATATACCTTTTAACAGGTAATGTAATGACAGAAAAATTACTGAGCTGAATATCTGAAGCAAAAACAACATGCTAACAACCAGTTATAACAATAGTAATCAGAACCCATGCCAGATACATACCAATCTGTTTAAAGCCATATTTTAGGCTTAGCTAGAAGACCCATGTGGCCGTTACATTAGGATTTCTCCTGCACATTCTCCAGTCCCAGTACTGACACTATATATTCTATTATATTTTCTGTAACCCAGATTTCCTTATTTTTATTATACTACAGGCCTGGTGCATGAAATTTGTGCACGGGTAGGGTTCCTAGGTCTGGCCGGTGATTAGGGCCAATCTGTGGGGTGACTGGCAGGGCGATCAGGGGGCCCTCCAGCTGGCACCTGCCTTGGACGGCCTGGGGCCTGCAGGCAGCTCCCACATTGAGCGTCTGCCCCCTGGTGGTCAGTGCGAATCAAAGTAACTGGTCATTCCACCAGTTGGGTTATTTGCACATTAGGCTTTTATATATTGTACTAGAGGCCCAGTGCCACGAATTCATGCACAGGAGGCTTGTGTGTTCTTGCCTGGCCCGGCCCCAATTGGGGTGGATTGGGCCAGGCTGTCAGGAGGAAAGAGACGGATGGAAGTTGGCCCCATCAGGGCTGGGCTGGATGGGGGAGTGAGGGGGGGGGGCCCCGCAGGCGGTTGGCCGGAGGGCCCTGACCCCAGTTGGGGTGGGGGGGCCAATTAGGGGATGGGGCCGGCCATGGGGAGGGGCTGTGGGCTGACCAGCCCCGCCCAAGATTGGGGTGGGGGAGGCCAATCGGGGGCCAGCACTTGGGGGGAGTGGCCATGGTTGGTTGGCCGGCCAGTCCTGCCCCTGATCAGAGTGGGAAGGCCAATCTGGAGTGAGGCTGGGTGGGGGTAGGGGCCGCAGGCGGTTGGCTGGTTGGCCCTGCCCTGTTTGGGGTGGGAGGCCAATCTGGTGTGGGGCTGGGCGGGGGGAGAGGCTGCAGAAGGTTGGACGCCCGGCCCCACCCCCTATTGGGGAGGGCAATCAGGGGCAGAGCCTGCCAGGAGAGGGTCCACAGGGGAGTTGGCCAGCTGCCCCACACTCAATCGGGGTGGGAGAGGCCAATCAGGGGCAGAGCTGGCTGGGGTGAGGGGCCCTGGTAGGTTGGCCGCTGGCCCCAGTCCCCGATCGTGGGTGTCATAGCAACTAGTCGTTCCGGTCGCTGGCTTTTTATATATATAGATTATTATTTTATCATACAGGTCTCCTTAAACTATTGCAAAACCTTCATAAGAGCCATGAAAACTCAATCAATGGTTGCAGAAAAGTATTAACTGACTTTCTAAAAATCTGTCTACCCCTTCTTCCTGGGCACATGGCTGATTATTTAAAATCTAGGTTTTATAGCCTCCTTTGTAACTAATTTCGGCCAAGTGACTAAATTCTCAGCAAATGAATATTAAGGAGAACTTATACATTACTAGATTTAAAAGGAACTGCCCCCTTAACTTACTCAGTTAAGTTTTATCAGGAGGTGGAAGAGGGGGCGGGAAAGGAGAGCAGAACAGTGAGGAAAGAAAGAGACAAAGTGTGTCCTAGATTCTCATTCAGAGCAGCTGAGTTCAGATTCAGCAGCTCCATGGACCTGAGGGAGGACTGAACCCAATACTGAGATTATGTTTTCTTATCTGACTGATAATTCTCTGGAAAACATGATTTGGGGGGGTGGGCAGAGGTGCTGTTAAGTGTAATTTTGTCTTACAGTAGCTGTCTAAAGTACTTTTTACAATTCTATATAATAAAAGCCCAGCGACCGTACAGCAGAACTACAGAACAACCAGCGGGAGCACCGCTCAGAGGGCAGGTCCACAGCCGCTTGGCTGACCGGGATGAACACCTGCTCCCGCAGTAGGCCGATCCCCACAGGCGACGCCCGGCACCAGTGCACAAATCCTGTGCACTGGGCCTCTAGTATGTTTAATAATCAGTACTTTAAAAAGCAGTGGTATTGCTATAAAGTGGATATTGAAGTTCTAGAGCCTGGGATGTGAAGTTGAGGTTGTATTGCACTGTTTACCACCTATAAGTAAAATCTAATCTGGGAAACCTAGGAAGGCTTGTAGACACCCTGCCAGAGTGGCCAGGGCCACCACCAGAAAGACACAGAGAGACCCACAGGGGCTGGGATAGCCTACGTTTCCATTTCTAATAGGATACAGTATTTTTTTAAATAAGGAGCCATACTTTTGGAAAAAAGTTTGAGATATGAATGTGATTTCTAATTGTATCAGACATTAATATTTTAAAGCTGTAACGAAGTTTAATATTTCCTCTTTTTTGTTTTTCATTTATTTTAACTGTTCTTTTATCTATTAAATTGTTGTATGTGGATGGGGAAGTTTTGTTTGTCTTGTTAACATTTGTTTCCCTAACAAGAAAATTATATATTAAACAAACAGCTAAAAACAAACAAACCCACAAGAACAAAAGGACTACCCTTTCAACTTAGATGTGATCATGGGAACAAGGTTAAAGCAATTTCAAAGTATGGGCCATGCTTTACTACCACCTAAAAACTTATTAGAAATGCAAATTCTCAGAACCCACCCAGAATTACCAAATCAAACTCTGATGGTAAGGCTCAATAATCTGTGTTTTTAAAAATCCTCTAAATGATCCCCTGGGAAACCACTAACAAGATACAGAAACCCATCAAGAGTAGTAAATTGTAAGTTTTTATGGAATGAAAACGAAAATAATGTTATTAACTGTGACATTTAAGATGGTTAGTGACCTTTGGCATGGTGGCCCAAGCTTTTTAAAAAGCCTACTAGATGATTCTTATGTACACTAAGTTTTGAGAATCACTGGCTTAGGGCATGGCAATGTGTCCTACCCTAGACCAAACAACTGTTATTTTATTTTTTGTTAATCATTACCCAATAGTATTTTTCCTTTGATTTTTAGAGAGAGTGGAAGGAGTGGGGAGAGACACAGAGAGAGAAACATATGAGACACACATCACATCAATTGGTGGCCTCCCACGTGGGCCTGGGGATCGAGCCTGCAACCGAGGCAAGTGCCCTTGACTGGGAATCGAATCTGACACCCTTCAGTCCACAGGCCGATGTTCTATCCACTGAGCCAAACTGGTTAGGGCAAGACAACTGTTATTTTAAGAAACAGACATATTTAAGCTACTGTAACTTAGCATTTATACTTGTACAGTGTTTAATGGAAGAGACTCTGTATTTAAGACTGCAGATTCAAATTTTGGCTCTACTATTCAATAGTTGAATTTAGTCAAGTCACTTCCCCTGTCTTGGATAATTTCCTATCTATGTAAGTGGACATAAAAATAGTACCTACTTTTATACAAGGCCTGCATAAAAATTAAGAAATTTAAATCTATAATGTTTAATCAGTAAGCAATCAATTAATGCTAACTGCTATCATTATAACTCACTGCTAATATTCTTCACTAATGAGAGAATAAAAGGTGGTACATGAAGATGAAAATGAAACACTAACCTATGTAAAAAATATGTGATTTCAGCTCCTATGTATAGCATTTAAGAATTACGGCCTATCCCCTAAACATTACCACAGCATTCCCCACAATTCTCTAGAGCTTAAAAACCAACTAGTACCAATGATTCAACACATATATTTTGTTTTCAGTCTTCCCCTATCCCATTTCTCTTTCCCAAATAAAACCTTATCTATCAGTGTGCTCCTTAAATACCAAATCTGTTACAGCCTTCCATATTCCGCTGGACTAAAATGGCTGGTTTCCTTAAATGGGTTCATAACTACTTGTAGAACTTAAAGAGTTAATTGTGTATGAACACTTCACAAAGCCTATGTTAGAGAACTGGGATCAGGTGTCTCAAAATAGTTTGTAGTATTGTTGCTCATTATAAAATTAAGCTAGAAAGATTTTTAAAATACCTGAAAAGATTCTCTATTTTTACGCTGTCGCCGCCTTTCTCTCAGCAAACTCTTCTGTTTTTCTTCTTCCTCCTCCTTTTCTAAAGCCCGAATGTGTTCTTCAAAGCAAATTAATGCATCTTCTTTATCCATGTCTAGAGTTTTTTTCAGTAAAAAAATTAAAATATCAAATGTTAGGAAAGCAATTTAATTATTTGCATTAACTTTATAAATTTCAAATTTACCTTTCCAAAATACTTGTACTGTAACTCAAATATGACTTGTAATCATCTAAATGGGTAACATTTAAGGAAAATACCAAAAAAGACTTCATCAAAAGATACCCTGCATCCGAGGATAAAAGAAAGACTATGCACATGATCCAATAATGAAAACAAAATTATTAGAATATTTGTCAGCAGTATCAGAATTATCCAAGGAACTTTTCCAAAGTGCAGAGTTCTAGGCCCTACCCCAAATCTCCCAAAGAGGTTAATAATAATAAAAACACTTTAGCCCTAACCGGTTTGGCTCAGTGGATACAGCGTCAGCTTGCGGACTAAAGGTCCCAGTTTGATTCTGTCAAGGCATGTACCTTTGTTGTGGGCACATCCCCAGTAGGGTGTGCAGGAGGCAGCCGATCAATGATTCTCTCTCATCATTAATGTTTCTATCGATCTCTCCCTCTCCATTCCTCTCTGAAATCAATAAAAATATTTTTTAAAAAAAGAAGAAAGCATGAATAAAATGTGGTAATTTGGTTCATACGAAGTGACACAAGACAATTTTAGGTTTGTTGAATGATAAACATATTTCAAAGATTATCTGATAAAGCTAACTTTAGATTTTTGTCCTAAATCACAAAAATATCCTATTTGGAAACAAAACATCTTTTCACAAATGAATTGACAATTGTCTAAAATTCAATTAATGGTCTCATTAAGAAAGTAAGAATTCTTTGCTGCTCGACAACCTTTTAAAAACTGTTTCCTCCCACTTAGTCATTATGCTTACTCTGTAATTCCTCATCTTCTGCAAAAGTTGGATTATCCATCAAATACTGCTGGGCTTCAGACCAAGTAGTAGAATATGTTACATTAGCCATGTTGTCAAGTATGTTTTTTAAGGCTTCCCAATTTCTTTTTCTCAATTGCTTTGCTTGCTCCTAAATCAAAAGTATGAATAAATTTTTTGAAGTTTAAAGGAAGTATGATATTTGAACTGCAATTAGTAAAGGTTTCTTTACATTCTAACTGATGACCAAATTTCAATACTCATTTACTTTGAATATCAACATTATTTACCTTTCCAATGCACTGGCCTAGCTGCTTGGTTTGTTATCTATTTTCAATTTTTTCACCTCTCTTCTACAGCCAAAATCTAGATAACATGACTCTCTCCTCCCTCCAATAAATGTCTCTTCCTTTTACAACTATGTTCTACAAAGCTAGTTACTGCCGACAAATCATACAATGAACAAATGCTAAGGTCTTCAACCACTTCTAGCTATGACCAAACTTTTATTTATACTACATATCTGGAAGTCTCTTAAAGAATGGATAATATACAATTTAGTGCATAAAATAGTCATAAGCAAAAAAGAGGTATTTTAAAACACTATCATAAATAAATTTTAGTGGAAACCATTACGTACTAGTGGCCTGGTGCAAGAAATTCGTGTACTCGGGGTGGGCAGGGAGGTTCCCCCAGCCTGGTCTGTGCCATCACAGTGCGGGAGCCCCATGATCCATCGCCCCAAAGAGGTTGTTCTCGCCCACCCATCCGGGGCTCCTCAATGGATTGCCCCAAAGAGGTAGGTCGGAGCCAGGGGTCCTGCCTCAGTCCGCACGGAGCTGCGGGACCCCCAGGCCTCGCTTTGCGGAGGCTTCCGCCAGGCCCCAGGCCTCCTGGTGATAGATTGTGATGGCATGACCAAGTCCCCGACGCTCCAACTCCCCGACGCTCCAAATCCCCACCCACCTGCACCTGCTGTGCACGCAGCCTACTGATTGTTCATTATGCGTGAGGGCGTCCCGACCATTTGCATATTACCCTTTTATTAGATTACTGCCATTCTTATAAAAGAATCATAAGTGCAAGTACCATAAGCAGAAACAGAGTATTTTTAAACCCAATGAGCTAAAAAGAAAAAGTGTCTTCTCTCTCAAAGTAGGTATAAAACAGCCAGTTAATGACAATTAAACAATAGATAAGTCTATATTTTCTATGTTCACATCAGTACTTACAGAAGCTATACATTTCAAACCTAACTTCTAATAAATGGGTATGCTGCACCACATAAACTGGATAAACAACCAACCAAAATGAACATGATATAAAGTAACTATTAATCAGAATGAAGAAACATCTTGTTTTATCTATAAACACCAGTAAGAGTGAATTATACCTTTTCTTTTTTTGAAAGAAAGAATAAAACATCTTCATAGATTTCAAGACGATCACGCTCTGATATTGCATTCCAGACTTCCATCTCGCCAAACATTTGCTCTGCTTTTCTGTTCAAAAAAATTAAATGTTACTCTATATCATACAATAAAAATTAATCTCTGGCCATTTTGACTTTATACTAAATTTAAAACCACCATATGAACACTCTTTACCACTCAAAATTCATGACTGTATTATAAAGGAAACCTTTTGAATAATTAAGAATAAAATAGCTTAGGACTCCTTAGAGACAAAGGAGTTAATTGTAAATGAGCAACCTTTTGTACTCAAAACTATCTCTTTTACTTAGGGTAGCTAGAGACACTATCAAACTGCCCATGGGACTAAATGATAGACTTCAAAAAGTTATCAAGCCCTAGCTGGTTTGGCTCAGTGGATAGAGCATTGGCCTGCAGACTGAAGGGTCCCAGTCAGGGGCACATGCCTGGGTTGCCGGCTCGATCCCCAGCGGGGGGCACGCAGGAGGCAGCCGATCGAAGATTCTCTCTCATCACTGATGTTTCCATCTCTCTCTCCCTCTCCTTTCCTCTGAAATCAATAAAAATAAAATTTAAAAACGTTATCAGATGCCTTGGCCAGTGGTTCAGTTTGTGGAAGGGTCGTCCAGTACACAAAAAGGTTACACGGGGTTTGATCCCTGGTCAGGTAGAATATGGGAGTGGATGAAAAAAAAAAAAAAAAAGTGAAGAGCAAATGAGAGGAGAAACCAAGATGGCGGCATAGGTAAACACCGGAGATCGCTGCCTCGCACAACCACTTCAAAAATACAACTAAAAGACGGAACGGACATCATCCAGAACCACAGTAAGGCTGGCTGAGTGGAAATTCTACAACTAGAAGGAAAGAGAAAAGCATACCGAGACTCAGAGGAGGCGCAGTATGGAAGTAAAATACTAAGGTGCGGAGGTTGCATGCAAAGCGGGCTGGCGGCTGAAGGCGCGGTTGTCATTTTCAATCAGGAGGGAGTCTCAGGCTCTGAGCTCCAGTTCCGGGCAAGTCTCTAGGGACCCAGACTCATATGGGAGAAGCGGGACTGTCTGGCATCGGTCGGAACTCGAGGGCAGCTTTCTCTCCGAAGGGCTTGCAGCAATTACCGAGACATTGAGAAGCAAACCTCTGAGGGCAGGACTCAGAGGAGCCATAACTGCTAGCCCCACCCTGTTGATCCTGTGGGACCCGCCCCGCCCAAGCCCTGCAGGGAGGCTGGATAGCCGCAGGCAAAGGCTAGATTAGCACCTCCCTAGAGATCCAGGAGCCAGGAAGCCCAGAGGTCAGAGTGGGACCATCCAGTTTGCAGCTCCGTGGAACCATAAAAGACACACTCAGGGGGCAGACTCAGTGAGCACCAAAGCCCCATTGAAGCAAGTCTTGCCCCAGAGGGGTGTCTCCAGCACAGAAGTTCTCCCACTGTAGACACAGCTGATTCTCACAGCCAATTGGCCTGGAGGTCAATTCCTCCCAGTGATAACTACAATAATCAAGGCTTAATTACAACAAGACTGTGCACAAAGCCCACAAAGGGGTGCACCAAGAGTGTCTACCTCAGGTAATTGGGACACTTAGCACAGAAAGGCACTCTATCGACACAGTGAAGCATAAAAAATGCCGAGACAAAGAAACAGGACACAAATGACAGAAATGGAGGAAAGCAAACTGCTGGATATACAGTTCCAAACCACACTTTTAAGGTCTTTAAAGAACTGTCTAGAAGATGCCGATAAATTTAATAAGGCCCTCAAAAAGACTGGTGAGACCGCCGATAAATGTAGTGAGATCTTCAAGAAATCTAGTGAGACCCTCGATGTTGTGATAAAGAACCAACTAGAAATTAAGCATACACTGACTGAAATAAAGAATATTATACAGACACCCAACAGCAGACCAGAGGAGCGCAAGAATCAAGTCAAAGATTTGAAATGCGAAGAAGCAAAAAACACCCAACCGGAAAAGCAAAATGAAAAAAGAATCCAAAAAGATGAAGATAGTGTAAGGAGCCTCTGGGACAGCTTCAAGCGTACCAACATCCGAATTATGGGGGTGCCAGAAGAAGAGAGAGAGCAAGATATTGAAAACCTATTTGAAGAAATAATGACAGAAAACTTCCCCTACCTGGTGAAAGAAATAGACTTCCAAGTCCAGGAAGCGCATAGAACCCCAAACAAAAAGAATCCAAAGAGGACCACACCAAGACACATCATAATTAAAATGCCAAGAGCAAAAGACAAAGAGAGAATCTTAAAAGCAGCAAGAGAAAGAAAGTCAGTTACCTACAAGAGAGTACCCATACGAATGTCAGCTGATTTCTCAACAGAAACTTTGCAGGCCAGAAGGGAGTGGCAAGAAATATTCAAAGTGATGAATGCCAAGAACCTACAACCAAGATTACTTTATCCAGCAAAGCTATCATTCAGAATTGAAGGTCAGATAAAGAGTTTCACAGATAAGAAAAAGCTAAAGGAGTTCATCACCACCAAACCAGTATTATATGAAATGTTGAAAGGTATCCTTTAAGAAGAGGAAGAAGAAGAAAAAGGTAAAGATACAAATTATGAACAACAAATACACATCTATCAACAAGTGAATCTAAAAATCAAGTGAATAAATAATCTGATGAACAGTATGAACTGGTGATTATAATAGAATCAGGGACATAGAAAGGGAATGGACTGACTATTCTTGGGGGAAAAGGGGTGTGGGGGGTGCGGGAAGAGATTGGACAATAATCGTGCACCTATGGATGAGGACAGTGGGTGGGAAGTGAGGGCGGAGGGTGCGGTGGGAACTGGGTGGAGGGGAGTTATGGTGGGAAAAAAGAGGAACCAATGTAATAATCTGAACAATAAAGATTTAATTAAAAAAAAAGTTGTCAGGAATTTAGCTAACCCATAAAATAGTACTAATTAAAGAAATAAAGAGTCTTTCACTAAGACTCTTCTAGAAGACAGAAAAATAAGGAAGCACATAGGGAAAATAAACTTAATAGCTTACTACATGTTAATATTGAATTACCTAGTTTTAAAAAAATAAAGCACTCTAAAATCAAGAATGCTATATAAATGCAATACTTAATGAAAACAGCCTGTTTCCTCCCACAAATACCAAAAATTTCAATTCTTACATTAAGTAGGAGTCAATCTTTGAATATTAAATCACGTCTTTCTCTCCTTTTTGTTTTAGTTCCCTAATCAATAACTCAATGAGTCTCTAAGTTAAATTCTACATTTAACTACTGATTTGGTATGTACCTAATAAAAAAGTCATAAGCAAAAACCGCCATGCTTACAAATCATCTCATTTTATTTAATGAGCATTTACTTTAGAATAGTTAATGCACTTGGCAAAAAGTAGACACAAACAGTGCAGTAAATACATACTATGCATCACTAAAAACTCTTACTTGTATCTGGTTGTGGAGGTCATTTTCTCGTGATTTTCAAGAAAACGCTGAAAGGATTCCTTAGCCTCTTTGTATTTCGATCTTGCTTCTTCTTTTTCTTCTTTCTCTGTCTGAACTTTATAGGCATTAAAGGCCTGCTTTTTTTCACTCAACTTTGCTAAAGCACTAATAGAAAAATGTTACAGAGTAAAATGAAGACAGAATGATCAAATGTTAGTGCTTTCAAAGACAATACAATTGATTTAATTCACAAATTAAGAACATTTCAGTAAGATATTAAACATCCAAAATAACAGAAGATAATGGAAGTGGAAAGTTACATTGCTTTACACAATTTTGAATTTTCTAGGCTTGCTATGCTCCAAGTACAAAGTAAATTAAAAAAAAAATCATCAAAGTATTACCTGTATCGTGGATCATTAATAATCATTTTCATAGCTTGCTCCCATGAAGCATTAGATGGTACCCGCTGAAAACCATTTGATAAAAAATTAGAATTTCACACAAATATAGTAAAAGTTATACAACAGAGAACAAAGTATAATACTCACTGCAAACAGCAAGCACTTCCTTTGCAGTTTTTTTTTTTAAAAGGTCTAAAAAAATTTCTTACTGAACCAAGGCAAATCTGGGTAATGATATATCTATTCACTAAAAAGAAAACTTAAACTGAAACTTAAACAGAGCATGAATACTTTCTCTTAAAACTACTGATTGAAAGATAACATGTTTTATGAATAAAAAACCTTACAAAAAATATTGAGGTGAAAGGTACTGGTGTACCTTTGCACACAATAGTTTTTGTGGGCTTTTATTTTGGTTAAAGTCAGATTCGCAAAAAATGTTCTTCAAAAAAAGGGACAAATTTAGTTCATTTTCAATAAAGGTATCATAGTATGGATTACAATGAAGAGTAGCTTCATTTATTAGACAATTATTATGTCATGTAAAAATCTATAATGCATATACCTTTTCTTTCAATAACTCTTTAAATGCTTGCTTTGCCTCCTCCTTTGTATTCCAAGTATATGTTTTTTTTGCTGGTTGGCTTTCATCCTCTTCTTTCTTGGGAGTAAAACTAGAGAGAAATTTAAACATGTTATTTATAACTTAAATAAACATTTGCTTCATTTAGAAAAATTTAGCTCTTTAATGTTGAGCTAAAATTTGATAATTTTTGAATAATGTCTCCAATATGAAACCCACATACTTACCTAAACATAAAGAAATAAAGGTAATATAAAAGTTTGTGTAAAACACTCAGTTATTAAGACTCTGCAAAAAGGCCAAAATAAAAATTTAACTACACTAAAATACTGGTTCCACTACTTAACTTCTAAATGACTTACAAATCTTATTCAATGCCTTCATTTGAGTGCTATAACAACTAAGAATTTGAGCAAGCATGACAACATATAAAAGAAGGAGATCAATCTAAATCGGGGTTGGCAAATCCTTAGGCCAAATCCAGCTATATCTAGTAAATATAGCTTTACTAGAACACAATCATGCTCATGAGTTTACATATTGTTTATGGCTGATTGTGTGCTACCATAGCAGAAGTGAGTCACTGTGACAGACTTTAGAACTACAAAACCCAAAGTATTTACTCTTAGACAGTTTTTTTTTTCCTTGGGGGGGGGGGGGTGTCTTTATGAAATGAAAGGTTATAAAATGCAAACATTTCTTTTTATATAAAAAAAGATAATTTAGGAAAAAAAGCTTCAAGTAGAATGCTTAGGGAAAGATAATGGAGTACATACTAACAAAAAAATACAAATATATTCACACTCTAAATATTTCAAAGAAAAAAGCAGGAAATAATTGTTGGCATTATGAAAAACAAATTATTGTGGAAAAAATACAGTAAGTACAAAATGATATGTGAAAGAACATTATTCCAAGCTTAAATGTTTATGAGAAGAACAATTAAAACTTTGTATATGTTAATAAAATAATATTCCATCATTCAACATGCTGTGGAGGTGTCTCATATACATGTACACATTTTAAATGCAGAGAATAAGGGCAGGATGCTATAAATAAAATACAAAAATAATTTTATGCCTTCAAACATACCATATATTCTTTTAAAACTTCTAAGTATCAGAAAAGTTATAAAGCTATTTTCACTTTGAGATATGTACCTAAGAAAAACAAAACTTTTACAAAAATGGGTAGGGAAATGAAAGCAATATGCTTAAATATTAACATGGGTGATCATGTTTCAAACTTGACACCATGGTTAACTTTTTTTTTTATGTAGATATCATTAAAGTAAAAAAGCACAGCACAAGGTTCCTTTTTATAACTGTATAAAGCATCGTTATATGAAATATTACTAATCATAGGGTATGCAAATACTTGCAAACTTTTGCTGCATTAAGTTGTACTAATTTAATCTAATAGTTTCCTTACATCTTGCTTATGTTACCTTTTTTTGCCTACTTGAGTGTTATCTTTATTTTTTGCCTACTTGATTTTTGTTTGTTCAATATCAAACTATAGCAAACTTCACTGCAATGCCATGCTAAGCCATATTTGAGATTGAGGCAAAAGAAAATCAGCAATACTGATCTTTACTTAAAATTTTCCTATTTTATTAATCATGGACTTTTGCACTGATTGTTTTAAAATACTGCACCACAATAGATCTTGACTACTAAAGTTCTGGGCACACTTTTAAACATGTTTCTCATTCTAAGAAGTTCTGCTTCTTAAAATTCTGTGGATTAGTTTTACAAGAGTTTGAAAGCATGAGCATGGCCCAAGAAAATTCAGCCCCAAAAGTGATCTACTATCTAAAGGCTTATACTTTGATTCCCCCAAAATTAACACTTAATGGCCAATGACTAAACTGGCAATTTGTCTGGTACTGATTTGCAGAGGACAAGGTACTAAACTTACTCAGCTACAGTTTCCTTAGATGTTTCTTCTCCAGCATTACTGTCAACATTTTGATCCTGAACAGCAGGGGTAGTAGTAAGTTGTGCTTGTTCTTCAGTTGAAATGGTTACTGTGTTTTCATTATCTACAACAGTAGCAACAATTGAAGTAACTTCAGGCTCAGGTACAACAGGAACAGTTCCACCGACAGTATTAGCAGAGGTGGAGGCACTGGCGTTGGCTGCAGCAGCAGCTGCTGCAGCAGCTGCGGCAGCTGCAACAACAGCAGCTGCCGCTTCTGCAGCAGCCATGGTGCTCATTGTGGAAGGAATTTCTGTTGTAGGAACTGGGGCTGTTGATGCTGTGGTGCATTCTTCTTGCTTACTATATATTTAAAAAAAGAGAAAACTGGTTATTTCAATACTAATAATCACAAAGCCAAATAAAGCTAGTGTTTAATTATCATACAATCAAATGAATAAGAGAAACTCTTAAAAGGGAAAAAAGGCAGTGCTGCCAAACTGTTAAGCCATTTAAAATAATTAAAACCACAGAATGAAACTGGATTACTTTGATTTAATTCAGCAAACATTCACGAAAATGTATGATAGGCACTTAGGCAACTCTGCATTTCCAAAAGCCTAATAATTGTTTTCATTTACAAAATGCCCTATCAGATTGTATCATGCCATAAAACTTTATCTATATCATAAATTTCCATACACTCTTTAGATTTTACTCATTAAAAGAAAAACCTGAATAAAGGAAGATATCTATATCTATATAATACTTCATCCATTCCCAAATTAACATGAACAAAATTTTGGAGTTTTCTATAACACAATCTTAATGATAAATGATGTAGTCTAAATTCAAACAATCACTGCCTAGTAAAGCATCACTAGTGTACTTTGAGTAAATACCCCTCTCCAACCCTCAAATTCTCCAAAGACACCAAACCATTAAGTCCTAACATGTTAATATTATTTATACTGTTAAAACAAAATTATAGGAGATATCACATTTCTAAATACGTACTGATATATAAAATTTGCTTACCTGCTTTCTTCAGCTTTGATCATTGCTATTAAAGAGAAAAAAGAAAAGTTACATACTAGTTTTTAAATACAATTACTGAAAAAAAACTTTAAAGGAGATAAAGTTTCATACAGTAAGATTTAACTTATTATATATGTACATATATAAAATCACCACTTTTACTGAGCAAGTGCTTGCTCCAAAGTCCCAGGGCAACAATTAAAGAATAAAGACAAACTTAAAGAGCAGTTTTTAAGAAAGCTTTTCCCCACACTGCTGCTTTCCCAAAGATTGCTAGCTACTGAAAAAACTCCCTGAAATAAAACAGTACTTTCCCCAGGGGTAAAACTATTTGTTATTTCTTAAAGATATCAAATTCAAAACATGATCAAATTCATGTTATGAAATTCCAGCACATATATACTAGCATTGACAGGTAGATAATTATGCACACCAACTATATGTAGTAGGGTTATATCAGAAATGAGCTTCATATTTCTAACGTCAATAAACTTCGAGCCTACCTACAGTATTATTAGCCAATGGTAGTACAGAAATTTAAATTGAGCTGTAAAGATTAGCAACTCAATGCTCCAGCTTTTATTCTGGTTAAGGTAACATTTTTTTGTAGTGGTAACAAAAATATCTTAGCATCATTAGGGAATGAGGTGCTCTATGTAAATAACAAAAACCTAACTCTATGAAAATAGAGGGTGTCCCAAGAAAATGTATACATACTTTGAATAATTATAAAGGTAGTGTTTACTAAAATACATTTCATTTTCAAAATATAATAGAATCAACTGTTAAAGAGTGTATGCATTTTTTTAGGACACCCGGTATTTTAAAAACTGTATCATTTCTGAAAATCTGTCTAGGATGGCTGACAAAATATACTAAAGGGGTTATTGTTACTAACATAAATTATAATATCTTTCATATACAAATGATACTCTATCTAAGCTAATGAAGTGACACAGAGCAAAGGTAGTAAATAGACTTCAGACCACAGTGCCTTTAAGAAATCATCATTATCTTTTTCATGTCAGATGTCATTTCACATTGCAGACTACTTTGTTAGTCCCATTCTACATTCTTTTACTTTTAACCTACTATAGTTTGACACCAGATTCTACCTTATGTAAAAGTGAAAGAATTAAATTCTCCATTCTTATTCATAATCTGCTATTTTAAGTCCTGGGTTTTATATTAGGTAGTATTTTTAGATTTTAAGCAGTATTCTGAACAATTGAGAATGTTAAAAAAAACACCAAAAAGTCCTCCCTTTGTAAGTGAGGCATAATACTTTGCTTACCTTAATTCTCCCAAAACAAGCATAAGGCCTATTTTGCAATGTTGTGATTATATAAAATCTGCATTAAATATGTACTTTCACAACAATATATTAACAAATTTTAAACTGATAAGGATTCAAGGTTCTCTGCTATCTGCTAAATGGTTAACACCTATATTCCATGTATACACCACCCAGAGCTGTATTTAGAAATATTGTACATAACTGTCCTTGCTCTATTTTCCAATGGCATATAACTTATAAAACACCAAAGTGCAAATTCAAAAGCTACAAGCTCATTTATAATATAACCCTTAAGTGAAAGAAATTCTTTGAATTAGATATTTCTCACTGCAGATTTATCCAATCATGGTTAGTGAATATTAGTGACATAGTATAAAAATGTTAAATAATGACAGAAAATGAATTATCAAAGCAGCTCACCATGCAGGTTTGATTTTGTAATAAGACTTCCAGCAACAATGGTATTCTGGTATCCTAGTTTCAATGGAATCAAATCAAATAAAAATCTATTTAAAATCTATAGAACTGAGATCTAGAGCAACAAGAAAATAAGAGCCCATAAAACTGTTATACCATTTAAAATATTCTAATCATTTAATTTTTTTAAAAAAAGCCTTTGTTTGAACAATCCTATTTATAAAGGATTGTTTCAGTGTGAATGACACACACACACACACATATATATATATAAATTAACATTATGAATTACTTTTTTCTGTTTTACCTTCAAGATCCTCAAGTTCTTTGGGTTTGGCCCAACGGGATTCTTTTGTTTGAGAATTATAATAGTATGGCTTCCCAGAGTCAGACTTGTACTCCTTCCAGGGGCATTTAGATAAAAGTTGCTAGAGGGAAGTAAACCATCAGTTAATAGTAATGTTTTTAGTATCACTCATCACTCACTGTTTTCATTAGATATTATCAAGCCACACAATTTGAAAGCTTGTGAAGTAATGCTATATAAACTACCAATTACGAGATACTTAGAGTAATGTTAAGATCGGAATATATTATTTAATCATTACAATCTACACTAATAAAAGAGAAAAATGGTAATTGGCGTACGACCGCTACCCTTCCCATTGGCTAATCAGCGTATCCTTATGCAAATTAACTGTCAGCCAAGATGGCGGCCGGCAGCCAGGCAGCTGGAAGCAAACATGAGGCTTGCTTGCTCCCGTGACTGCAGACTCCAACGTTCCCCGCCTGACTTGCTGGCCTCTGAGCTGGCAGTTTGAAACATTCTAACAAATATAGCCGGCTGGGATCTCAGAGCTGAAGTTATACATTGTTTCGATTATAGAACGGCAAACAAACCAGCGGAAGCCTCAGAGCTAGAGCCAGAGCTAAAGCTGGCCCAGAAGAAAAAAAAAAAAAGAAAAAAAGGAGCGGTTGGGAGCTTCAATCAACAACTGCCAGCCTGAAAGCAGCCCTCAGCCCCTCACCCAGACTGGCCAGACACCCCAGTGGGGACCCCCACCCCGAAGGGTGTGTGACTAGCTGCAAACAGCCATCATTCCCTCATCCAGGCTGGCCAGGCACCCAGTGGGGACCCCCACCCTGATCCAGGACACCCTTCAGGGCAAACCAACCGGCCCCCAGGCCTCTATCCTATATAGTAAACTTTCAGAAACACGATGGCATAGAGATGATGCTGCGCAGGCAGACATTTGTCTTCAGTATCCCACTTCAATATTAGACCCAAATGGTTAAACTATAGTTTCATAGGTATTTACAGCCTTTTGGGGATACACTATTTGATATTGGATATATCTGAAAGTAAGATTCAGATTCTATACCATCATATAATTTTACTAGGATGATAAAAATTAAAGCGATTCCTCAGTGTAGGAGTTGCCTGGGAGTTTAAGAATATGCAGTTTCTGAAAGAATTGAACCTTTTCTAGGAGGGCAGGAAACATCTAAGAAAGATGTTGGGCATTGGCTGGAGCTTCTAGCTACAAGTCCCTAGAGTCATTTGTGTGAAAAGTGGCCTTAGAGTTTGAGTTGTTATTAGAATAAGCCAGTGTTTGTCAAAGTGTGGTCCTTAGACCAGAAGCATCAGAGTCACCTGGGAACTTATTAGAAATGCAAACTCTCAGAGTTTGCCCTGACCAATGAGGAGCTCTGGGGATGGGTCACAGTAATCTCATTTTAATAAGTCTTCTAGGGGACTCTCCTATACTCTAAAGTTTGAGAACCACTGGGATAATAAGGCATTGAAGTCTAAAAGAGCTGGTAG